TCGAAGATAATTATGTGTCAGCCTTTCCTTTAAAGCTGCAGTAACAGTGCAGTCGTGGTTAAGATTACTGTGTGCTTGGAATGTTACATCAGGTCGGTTTGTGAGTGTTTCCATGAATTATTTTGGGTTTTATGGTAATTTTATTATCGAGTGAAATTAATTGAAGCTTCATCATGACAAAGTTTGTGTTTTTGGGGTGCTCATTGTGGCCCAAAAAAAATATTTCAGCACCCTGGGCCTTTAAAGGGATCACATCCAGCTCCATATTTGAAAGTGTGGTCAGGTTTAACAATATATCTGTGACTTGAGATCATTTAACCTCATGTGATCTGTCATGATTAATAGAATAGAATAGATCTTTATTGTCACTGTTACAAGAACAGTGAAACACAGTTTGGTATCTCTCCGTTAGCAGCATATAGAAATTTAACATTAAAATTCCTTCAGAATAAGAGAAAAAAAAACAAAAAGAAAAAAAAGAGAAACAAAAAAAATGGACTTGAAGTTTAAGAGGTGCCTACACAGTGAATGTATGTAACAACGTAAGTGTCTACACAGAAATGTACAAGGTATATACAAGTTATATATGCTATATAAAAGAGCAGGTGCAATATAGGGTGCAATGTGATGGCAGTGAACTTTGAGTAAGAGCTAGGACTAGAGGTAGGAATGCTGGTTGCATTATACTACAATAAATGCAGTTTATAAATACAGTGAAAATGTCCATAAATGTTAACAGCACAGTTAACCGTTAACCTTCAATCAGGGTGGAGGTAGGGCATGTTTCTATTGAGCCTGTTTGTCATTGACCTGTAGCGTTTATAAAAGGCCCGGGGGGGTGTCCAGGTGCGACAGGTCCTTGATGATGATACTGCTTCTCTGCTGAAGTCCGCCAGTTTAAATGTCTCTGAAGGGGGTTAGTGAAGTGCCAATTGCCCGCACTGCTGCCCTCTCCACCCGCTGCAGTTTTCTCTTGTCCTCCACGGTACAGCAGTTAAACCGGAGTGTACAGCGGTAGGTCAGAAGGTGGTGGAGCGGTAGAAGTTGATTAGCAGTCAGTTTTGGTCTAATTGGGCCCTGATGCAGCTTCCTGACAAAGTACATTCTTTGTTGTGGTTTTCCTACCTGATGGAAAATGTTTGTGGAGCAGGTAATGTTGGCCGAGATATGGACCCCAGGGAACCTAAAGCTTTCTACCCTTTCTATCCCTTCCCATCAATGTAGAGGGCGGAGTGCTCAGATTGCTTTGTTCGTCTGAAGTCGATTACTCCTTGGCCTTGGCTGTGTTCACATGTAGGTTGTTGTTGTCACCTATTAAATGTTACAGCAAATATTTCTGGCACAGAAGAGGATGAAAAAGTCACAAAGAGGAATGATCTAACCAGCCCTGTTGCAAGACACTTCAATGATAAACATCCAGATTCACCTCTATTCTTTCTAGGCATTGAAGCCATTAAACTAAACCAAAGAGGTGGTAATATTAATTTTATCCCGAAAAAACAGAGAAGCATTTTGGATATTCAGTTTTAAGAGTCTGCACCCTAGAGGCATGAATGAGGATTTTTCTATCAATGAGTTTTTGTGAACTGTACCCTTTTTTAAATTCTTTTTTACCAGTTACTTTGCTCTGTCAATCATTCTCGCATGGGTAATGTTTATCTATTTATTTATTTATATTTATTTTTTCAATAAAAGAAGGAGTAGCATTCTAGATGTCTAGTATTCTGTCTTTCTACAAATGTTTTTCCATGTGATGATGTCCTCTTTTTTTTATCTAACTGCTGCACTGACTTCTTTTTGAATAAATTTTTTTTCTTTTTAATCGTTTTTTGTATATTTGTAATATTCTTATTATGTATTTCATGCATGTATTTTAAGACAGGTGGGGATTATGTCTCCTCACCCCCGTCTTCATCATTAATGACTTAGTCCAGTAGCCGACCTAGTCCACAAGCCGAAACTTGTTGGTCAGGCAATAAAGTTGTTCCTCTTCCCTTCAAGCGTTGCTGGAGTTCCTGTATTGTGACCTATTAAATGTTGCACAATATTCTTTAGTCTAAGGAGCTTGGAAAGAAAAGCGTCTGGACTTCTTTAAGTTGCTTGAAGACGTTTCACCTCGTCTTAATGGGCCCCCTAATGATCCTCTACCTAATCATCGAGCCAGGTGTGAAAACGGATGTAGGTCACCATCAGCCAAGGTTTCGGGTGAGCTCATTGTGAAACCTAGCCCCACCCTATCATGTGATTTCCTGAGGTCAAATGGCCCAAGATATGAGTGGGCGTTAAGGCGTCTGGGAAGGGATCTCAAAACTGGATTATAGATGGCAGACAGTTTTTTGTTGTAAGCCACCGCCTCTGTTCAAAGATGGTCGCTCACAGTGGACACAAATGGCTTCTTTCACTCCTCTTTCAAACCATCTGTCTTTTCTGTCCAAAATGGGAACATTTGTGTCCTTGAAAGAGTGACCTTTGACCTTTAGATGCAGATGGACAGCCGAGTCTTGTCCCGTGGAGGTGGCTCTTCTATGTTGTGCCATATGAACCTTCACAGATATATTCTTTAATGTAGTTATAACCTGTTATAACTGTTGTTATAACCCATTATGAGACTTAACCAAGCTGTCTTTTGAATTGTGAAGTTCAAACTTAAAAACTTTTTAAGGTTTTGTTTCAAGCCTCTCATTGACTCCTCTCTCCATTTCCTCTCAGGCCGCTTTGCCGTGCGTGACATGAGGCAGACCGTTGCCGTTGGCGTCATCAAGTCCGTCGAGAAGAAGGTTGCCAGCGGTGGAAAGGTCACCAAGTCCGCACAGAAAGCCGACAAAAAGAAATGAATCCTCGTGCAGGAGGTCCACCGACAAGTCGCGTCTCAGCAGCAGCGGGCCGCCCCATCCTCCCTTCCCCCCTTCCATCCAGCGCCGTCTTCTCTGAGGCAGAGCTCTCTACTCAAGGACTGGCTTATGCTGATTAAAACCCATCGGAAGAGTTTCCGTAGGAAAGGAAGGTTCGTGCCTTCAAGGGAAAACTACCATCATGATTACATTTAAACCAAAACAATAAAAATCTCAAACATTGCCAAATGAAAACGCCTCTTTTGTGTTTATTGACTGCAGACAGTGGCAGCACTGGTTCTTTTATGCACTTTTCTGCTCTACCTGAGCACTCAAACACTTCATACATGCCTCATTCACCCATTCATACCAGCATTTTGCTCTATGCTTCAGTGCTTTCTAGCTACCATTTCATATCTTGCCAAAAGGATATTTGGCATACAGCACCGAGCAGAGGGCATCGGGTCAAACAGGTGGTGGGCGGGGTGCAAGGGGTCACCTGTGATGGCCCTGGTTTTCCAGACACAGGAGGATTTGGCGATGGCATCCAGGGGTGACTTAGGCCTCTCAATGATTTCTTGGGTGGTTTTAATTACTCTCAGTGGCAGCAAAAATACAGACATTCTGTACTTAAGTAGCAGTACAAATGCTACTCATAAAAATACTCCAGTAAAACTTATAGTACTGATTTATCTCAAGTAAAGGTAAAGAAGTACAGGCTCTGAAATGTACTCAAAGTAAGAAATAAAAGTAGCTCTTTGTAGGACGTTTCTATTTTTGTGCAAACTAACTGAACCTTGTGTTATAATTATGATAAAATAATATCAGCAGATGGGAACACAGACTTCAGTCTAACTTTCGTTTATTCTAATTATACTCAGCTTGAATCTGAAGAAGATGAAGGAAACTAAAAACTATGTCTCTATTTTCTGTTCCCTGCTTTGTTTTTGCCTCTAAACAGGAAAATGTGTACAGTCTCAGCAGGTGGGTGAAGCCTAAAATTAGTTGTGATGGCTCTGTGTTGGCAAAAGAATCAGAACTCACAATTTCTATTGAGAAATATTCTTAATGTACAGGCTGTGATCAGCTGACCTGATACTCTTTGTGGATGTACACAACTGAATTCGAACAGATGTCAGCAGATGTGTCATGAGTTGTCCTGGCTGATTTCCATCCTCTGCACTGACAGTACGCTGTTTATGCTGGAATTCAGTCAATCAATCTCAGCATCATCAGGTAAAATTCACATGAATCTCTGCTACACTGGGTGTAACCTAACTCTGACTGATGAACCACAGCCACTGTGCACCAGTCGCACCCTCATCTTTACTTTTCGAAGTACAGCAAACTAACCTGTTCAACCTGTACTAAATGTAAAGAATTTTCATGTAACTTTAAATAACACAGCTGTACCTCGCCTAACCTCTCGTCTTCCTCTCCTCTCCTGTCCTGTCTTTCTTATCTTCATCTCTGAGTGAAGTTAACTCTCTTTCTTTTCTCTCCCTGTGAAATACAGCAGCTGGACCTTCAGCTAGCAACACATTGTGAGACCAACTGGACACAGTTTAGCCGCTTTTGGGCTTTCTTTCTTTACCAGGGCGTTGGTGTTGTGGGTCCAGGTGAGAATGACAAAAATGTGGGTGCCCAGAAACCTCGAGTGGAGACAGATTCCACCCATTCTCCATTTATAATGAGAGGGGAGTGGACCTGTCTGTGTCTTCTGAAGTTCATGATAAGCTTCAGTTTGTTTTCTAAGCACCAGCAGGACAAGTTCTCTGCTCTCTCATCTCCATCAGAGTATGCAGAGAACAAGAATAAGGATTATTTATGCCCTCATTTATTTCTGCAGTAGAATCAAAGGTGACACAGCCTTCGCATTTTCTTGAAAATGAAACCAAAAAAATCAGAGGATATTTCCAGATTGTGCAAGATTACTTTGAACAGTGTTTGGTTGAATGTATGACACATTCTTTCCACTTAAGTGATCCTGACCTAACACGAGCAGGTAAGAGATAAAAGCCACAAAAACACAAGTAAAGCATTAAACCTCACACTTGATTCATAGAGCCTAAATGCTTCCTGATGTAGTGGTGTCTTTGTGGGAATTCATTGTTGGGCACACTTGAACGTAAAAGGTGTCTGAGCACATACCCCAGCTCATTGCGCAACATTTTCCCATCAGGGGTGATGAAGCTCAAAACCGGATCCCAGGTAGGAGGAGGAGGAAGAGGGCTTCATCCCTAGATTCTGCTTCATGATAACTGAAAGAGAAAGTAATCCTAGAGTAGGAAATAAAACACAACAGTCAGGGCTTCATCTCCATTTGCAGAGGACGCTGCTCAGGTGAGTCAAACCGCTGTCGGATTGTTTCATTTGCTTCTTTTCACATCACAAATCACTCGCTTCGGTGTTTTACGGCAGAGGTCACAGAGCCGCGGCTCTTTCGCCCCTCAGCTGTGGTTTTTGAAAGCCAAAATGATCGGATCCGGGATCCGTGAAGCCGAACTTAATATAATGTGCGTAAATGATCAGTATTTATTCAGTTTTGGACGTACACGTTTATAAAAGTGTTATACCTGTGGTCGGATCGCTTCGTATTTCTGTGTGGATTGGAGCACGTGCGTAGGAGTCCTTAAACATTACACAGAAATCACTGGTACGCGTGTAACGCTTAGTTTACGCTCGTGGGTCACATTGTACGCATATGCAACCCTTTTCAGTCAAATTTACCTCCATATTTCTTTGGATCTTTGGATCCACTTACGCAATCAGGTTTTCTTAAGCATTAACTACACGAACTCCTTCTTAACACTGCTGGCCTGCAGGGATATTAAAGGGACCTCGTACAGCCCTGATGGGGAGGAGCAGTGATGTTCATAAACACAAACAACGCTAACCGGCCCACTGCTACATTTTGTTTATTTGAAAGTTGGGTATTTACCATCTACTAGTATAAATTATCATAGAGCTCATTTAATTTCATGAGACACATACAGCCAAGTTTGATCCAAAGCGTGGCAGACGACTAAAAGTATTGCTCAATAACCTATAAAACATCTCACCTGAGTTTTTTACTGTAAATAAAATCAAGGTACACGATAAATTAAATAACACATCCTTTAATCAAACGATGCTTTATCAAATTTGATGAACAGCCTGAGATGTAAATCCGTAAAATTACAGAAAAAGCAAAAAGGACTGAGATTGTCCTCTAACTGAAAAGATGACATTTTCTGTTCATTCACAGAAAATCACATTCATTTGACTAATCTGAATAAATGGCCACAGACCCACAGCAAACAAAACAAAGCAAAACTGTAATGAAATAGTGGAATAGTGAAAAAAGAGAAACTTTTCGGTAATGAATTGTCACCCTGACTAAAAACAAAACAAAACAAAACACACCTTAAATTGTATAGTTTAATATTTCTTTCTTTTACTTAGTTTATTTTATTATGCAAGGCCATGGGCTTTATCTTAGTCAGGAGTTGAATATTTCCCTGCTTCTGCAATTTTCTCATCCATTTATTGCTCCAGAGAAGTCTAGAAGTTCATTTTACTCATAAACTTTAAAACAAACCGGCCATGACTGACCGGCCTTTGTTTTTTTACACCCTGTACATTATAAATGTTTTCCTCCCTGCTGACAGCTGAGCTGCTGACATTACATTTCAGCTGGCTTCTGTTTGAATTTTGCTGTACTTTGTTTGGAGGAAGTCTTCTGATATCTGTTAAGTTTTTCACTGTCTCAATGAGAAATTCCTGCTTTTTTGCAGTGGGTAATAAGAAAGTGAATGACGTGTGTATGAATGAAGTGTATGAGAACAGAGCATTGGTAACTTGATTTCAACCAACAGTACAGCACTTTGGTGCAGCTTTTACAGTCAGGTGGTGTTAATGAAAGTCCAGCTGACACAAACTCTGGACTCCAGTGAGTCTGACATGTTCATACCAACTGGGCCCAAAGGGCTCAACTGTCCTGTCAGTTTGTTTAACCAAAGCGTGGAAGGGAGCTGTGAATGTGCAGGATAGCAGCAATGCAGGGTGTGGCCGGATGACTGAAGTGTATGTAGGATGTTGGTCAGGGCTGCAAAAACAACACAACCTTACCATACTGTAATATCATATGGAATACATCAAAGCCAGCAAAGACTAAGCAAACACTTTTTTTTTTAGAAGCACACAGTCCTAAACTTCAATAATTAAAGACATAAAATCTAACTGTATGATATCTGTTGTAATTTATATAGAATGTATAAATGTTTACCACGTGTTAATAAACCTCTACAATTAGATCAGCAATGTCCAAAGTGTGGGCTGTGGCCCCCTGCTGGGCATTTAAGATGGTGCAGTTGGTCTGCAGAAAAAAACAAAACACAACCATGTAATTTACTATTGTGTAATTAAGATTTACAATTTGAAATGAGTGAGTTAATAAAAAGCTTCGTGTTACTTTTTCTGTTCTGACAGATATTTTGTCCTGAACTTGTCTCGGGAAAAACAAGTGTAGCAGCGGTTAGCAGCTGCTGCAGGTAAAGCGTTTAAAGTGTTACTGTCAGCTCCAAAAAAAGAAAATTGTCAGAAGATCAAAATGAATCAATGATAACACGAAGAAATAAATGAACAGAGCAGTGGTTAAAGGTTAAAGGTTGGATAGGTTGCAGAAAATTTGCAGATTTTAGAATGGGCAAAGTCAGTGGTGTGTTTCTAATATTTTTTTTTTACATCTCCCATATTTACGTTTCATAGATTTAATTAAACGGCAGGTTATTTTATCTGTGTTAAAGGCTGAAATAAACGAGTTATGGAGTTAAAGGACAAACAACAACAATCCCCACGTGAGGCACGGGTGGGAGACAGAGTAAAGCCTGTCGCCAGACCAAAAGAGAAGATTCAGCAGCAGCAGTCAGGTGACACTGCCATAATTTTGGGGGCTTTACGTGAATCTTTAACGCTCACCTCTCTGCTTTGCCTAAAAAAATATTATCTTTGTCACTTTGCAGAGGAGGGGGAGGTGGCTGAGGAGTCCGCCATCCCCACAGATCTGGAGACCTGGATCAAAAATAATGCCGAAGACCTGAAGATCCGGCTGACAGACCGTCGCTGGGCTGCTGAGGTGGTCAACGATTTTCGTGAGAATCTGCTGAAATTCCTTAACAATGAACCTTTATTCAAGTCAGCAGAGTGCCTCAACGCCGGCAGCTACTTTGAGAAAGTTAAGGTGAGATCACAGCTTCTGAATTTTAATTCAGACGTGACTATTTTAATGTTTATGTTTTTTAATCCAGTTTTAAGTATTCGTATGTCCTGCCTTTGTTCTTATTAAGTTCACCTGTTCATCTGATCTTCTGACTGCCTGAAAAACATCAAATCACGTCATCAAATAACTCTTGATGCACGAGTATCACTTCAGTAGTTTCTAAAACATCTCATAGCACCTTAGTGATTAATATATAATGAAAGCCTTCCTGCACATCCCTTCCCAGTCTCTGCTCCTCCTGATTGATGTGATCTGATCTGACTTTTAATTCATCCTCTGCTCCCAGATCCACATGCCTGATGAGTTTGACATGATGCTGACGTTTCCAGGCAGCCCAAACCTACGCCTCAACCCGATGAAGCTCGACGGGGGTCTCTTCTACCGGCTCGATCTCACCCGGCCCACTCGACAACCCATTAAGGATTTTCTTCTGGAGAACAACCTCACCCTCTCGTCGAGCAAGGTCCTGAATGAGATGCATCGCCTGGTCCGCAAATTCCTCAAGACCTACAAAGGTTTTCTGCCTCACCTCTAATCTTATACTTCTGTTTCTCCTGCTGGTCTTCTGGCTTTTCCACCTTTTAATGGCTCAAAACTGTTTAGAGAATTTCCTAAAGTTGTCTTGTCAACAGGTCTTAATTGGGTGGGATCTGATCATGGTTTCATGGGATGTAAAACAGACAATCATATTGGGCTAAATTTGGATCAACTTTTACTAAGCAGAGCCCAGTTTTCACGATTATGAGGCTAAATAAAGGCCAGTCAAACAGGCACAAGAAATGATCTTGTTCGATGCTTGTTAGGATCATTTAAAATCAATACCTAGACTGAAAAAAGAACTTGTTAACTCATTTGTGCATTACAGAGACATTTTTTAATTAACACTATCCTGATATTTTTTAAACACAGCTGTATCTTAGTCCCCATCAGAGTTATTATAGTGTCACGTTTTCCATTATTTTCATTTTAGTTCAGTTTAGATGCACAGCAGCAAAACTGTGGTTTTATCATTAACAGCAAAAGAATGTAACAGTGCAAGCACTGCACAGACAAAACTATCCCAGAGTTTATGTGCATATCCATCAAACTCTCTACAGTCAAACTGAACCAAATAAACAAAAAGAGACTAAAGTTGTTATTTTTGCTGATTTTGTAAGTATGCACTATCGTTTCTGTTAGCTTTGCAGTTTTGATTTTGATGTTCGTTAACAAAAAGGTTCATCAACACCAACCCCGAGTCTCCATCACTAGATTAATAAAGTGAGATTAGAAATAATTGAGATTTTTTTAATTCTTTATTCCCAAAATATCTGCAGTGAATAACAATTTTATAACGAGTAGTCAGTAAACTCTGATGTTACTGAACCACAAGTGTTGAGAAGTGAAGCCCAACATGTTCAGATGCATTTTAATCACAGTGGTACCGGCCTCTTAATGTGCACTCTTCAGAGTGGGATCCTTACACAAACAAAAACAGAGTTTTTAACATTTAACCTGTGCCTGTTTTCAGTGCCCGATGAATGCTATCGCTGGGAGGTGAACAGGAAGCGCGTGCACTCTCCGGCTGTCACTTTGTCTCTCTTCAAAACTGACAAGAACAGCGAGGAGCTGATCTCCGTGGACGTGGTTCCTGCGCTCGAGGTAATCACTGAATCTGCTCTGTGGTCATAAATAAGATTACTGACCGCTTTATGTGTGCTGCTCAAAATCACAATTAAAGGTATGAAGCCTGGAGGACCTGTAGTTTTGTCTGAATGGTGCATGATTCACCTTCAGCACTTTTGTAACAATGCTCAGTTTGTTTAACTTGGACATAAGAGAAATCATCACTGGCTTCTTTCTCCTCCCCCCAAAATTACTCATACCCCTTTAAAGTGACGCCGGAAACTATTGGCAAAATAAAACCACACATCTGCATGTATTGTCTGTACTTTAAGGGCTCTGGAAACACTGGGCTCTCCCAGTCTTGTGTTTCTAATGTTTCCCTCTCAGTAACGTAAAATTTTTAAGTCTTTTGTCAAACCTATCTTGTGCATCAACTTGTAACTTTTTTTGGTTTGACAGTTTGAGGCTTGTTTTTTTGACTAGTGTCAGTTTCAAAGTTTGCTTATAAAGTGAGACACAGAGCAGTGAGTTTAAGGTGTTTATTCACTTGCAAGGGAAGAAATGCCATACATATTTATTCTGGGAGCAGATAAGCTTCAAAGAAATCAGTTTAGTTACCACAAGGAAAAACTACAGGAATATTTACTCCTTACCAGACAGCAACAGCACATAACACACCTCAAAATGGATTACAATAATAAACATAGCCCCCAGTATGCACCTACATTTTTTTCCCACTATACACAAAGGTCACAAAACTAATTTTGAGGAGATAGAATCACTTGGAAATCTAGCAATGACATCTCCCAAAGGGCAAAACAAAACAGGCATCCCAAAAAAGGCTTGACAGAGGAATAACAACATCAGGATGCCATTGAAACCCACCAAAAAATAAATATTAAACAGTGAACCGGGACAGTTACATGACACGTGGCAAAAGAGTTAACTGTGTTTTGCACCTGCTGCGAGGTAATGTTCCTCCTCGTGTCTGTTTGTAGGTTCAAAGTTGGCCGGCTGCGGTTCGTAATGGCCTGGATGTATCCAACTGGCTGGGAAAGAAAGCTCTTCAAGACATCCGAAGATTGCCGTGTTATTTTGTACCAAAGAGGCAGAAAGGACGAAACCTCAGCGAGGACGCCAAAGGTGAGAGGAAGCTGACTCCTCTCCAGACCCCAAACTCAGAGAGGAGTTTCTGTGTGGTTTGTTTTAAAAAAGACTGGCAATGCAAAGCACATTCATTTCAGTTCAACTCATTTTCAGTTATATAGAGAAAACAGAGAAAACCAGAACAATCACATGACCCCCTATGAGCAAGATCTTCAACAACAGTGGGAAAGAAAAACTCCCTTTTAACAGGAAGAAACCTCCAGCATAACAGCCTGAGCGTTTGGCTCATGGTGATATAGTGATATAGTGATACATACTCTGATTTATCATTATGAAACCTTGTCCGTCTTTAACATAAGGTGAAACAGTGACTGAAAAAAGTATTATCCACCATTCATCCTTTCATTTTCTTAACTGCTTAACCCACAGGTGTCAAACTCCAGGCCTCGAGGGCCGGTGTCCTGAAGATTTTAGATGGATTCTTGATCCATCCCAGGTGATTCAAATGGCCAAATTACCTCCTCAGCATTTCTTGAAGTTCTCCAGAGGCCTGGTAATGAACTAATCATTTGATTTGAGTGTGTGTACCCAGGGTGATATCTAGAACCTGCAGGACACCGGCCCTCGAGGCCTGGAGTTCGACACCCCTGACTTAGCTGGACAGTTCAGCTAACGGTAGCTATATGACAGAAAATAAGGAAAAGCCTGATAGATTCACTTCAACAACAGCCAGAAAGTTTAAAAAAGTATTATTTTTCTGTAAGATGATACAAATGTTTTGTTTAGGATAAAGGTCGGGGTGTTTCTCAGTGTTTTTCCAGCATCAGCTTTAAAGATTCCCATTATGTTGGAAGCTTCTTGAGCTAGGTCCTTCAGTGTTTTGGGGCAAATATCTGGTGCTATGCTTCAGTGACTCTCAGGGGTGGAGCTCATGTTAACAAAGTGACGGATTCTTGAAGTCACTAAAATATTTGGATGTCCAATTTATGACAGCAGGTTTGTATATGTGTAGAAATCCCAGTTTTGCAGGTAGACGACTGTTTTATTTACATCTTCTCATGGACAAGACATATAATAATATTTAAAACAGTCCAAATCGTGTGAATGGTTTCAGAGATATCGAAGTTTGAGTACTGGGGAAAAACAATCAATACATTTTGATCCATCTTCAGTGTACAGGTATGACACCATGACCGAAGTCCAAAATAATAACAACAACTAAGAGCAAAGACAAAATATAAAATAAGACAAACTATGACAGGTCATAGATAGGTTTGAATCTCTGAAGCTTTATTGCACAATAGACAGTGCTCGGTTTTGTTGTATGCTGTCCGAATACGTGGTGATATTATGTTTTGCCTTCCCTCATCAGAGAGCTGGAGGATCTCTTTCTCTCACATTGAGAAGAAAATCATCACGTCTCATGGTAACAAGAAAACCTGCTGTGAGAGTCGTGACACCAAATGCTGCCGGTGAGACATCTTCTCACACAAGATCTGATCATCTTGGAATCACAGGCCGGAGTAAAGCACTTAAGTGTCGAGTGTCATTTAGACAGAATCTTAATTGATAGATTTAATTGGTTTGACCACAGTATTCAGAGTTGATGATGTCGCTGTGTAAAATGACATAAGTGCAATTACAGATCTTGTGCCATCCTGTGCAGTTCTGTTTTAGAGCTACACTTATTATGCTTGTAGAGCATTTTCGATAAGATAATAAACAAATAATTGAGTAATGTAGAGCTGGGATCAGCTCCAGCCTGCCTGTGAGCCTAGACTGTCTAATTGGCTAATGAAGTGGATGACAAATGTCACAGATTTTAAACTTTTGGATTGTGCCTTTCTGCCATATGTTTTTTTTTTGTTTTTTTTGCAGAAAGCGGTGCTTAATGCTCCTCAAATCTCTGATTGAGGGTCTAAAACAACGTTTTCCTGAAGAGCTGAATGACCTCTGTTCGTACCATGGGAAGACCACCTTCCTGCACACCCTGTCCACCAGGTATTCCTCAAAACTCTCGTTACAGGGGTAGGCTAAAGGTAGAGCTAACGATGGTTGGCTTGAAGTCCTGATTTCTCCTGACGTATGTGTGGGTGATAAATTCATGTAAAAAAGAAATGTGATGTACTGGCGGCTTCCAACTCACTTGCTGTTATGTTTTCCTTTTTGTTCTTATATGTTTATATATATACATATATATATATATATACATATATATATATACGTGTGTATATATATATATATATATATATATATATATATATATATATAGATAGATAGATAGATAGATAGATAGATAGATAGATAGATAGATAGATAGATAGATAGATAGATAGATAGATAGATAGATAGATAGATAGATAGATAGATAGATAGATAGATAGATAGATATCTCAACCTTGTTTGAAATTGCATTGTTCAAACATAAATGACTTTACTAATCTCTAAATAAATTAAAGAACTACAAAGTGAATTCCTAAATGAATTTGCTAATGCATATTTTCTTGCACAAGTCATTGTTGAGGCACAAAATCAGCATCTGCAACAGATTATGTTCCCAGCTGTGAGAAGCTCCACCCACCTCCTGTTTAAACCTTCTGTTAGTAAGGGACAGCCAATCAAAAGAAGGTCTAATGCAGTGGTTCCCAAACTGTGCAGTGGCCCCTCTAGTGGCACACGAAGCCACTGCCAATGGGTTGCAGACATACATGCCCATAATGGAAAGAAGTTGAATACAATAATAACATTTTTATTTATTTATTTATTTTTGGGGAACATAAGTAAAGTAGAGTATTTGATGTTAGTGCATTGATCTTTATTTAACTAAAGTTCAGCTTGGTCCCTGGTTTTGTTGTGAAAAACAAAATAAAAGACAAAATTGTTGCATGTGGAGAATTAATCGTGGCTCAGGGTCCAAAGCTACCCTATTAGACTCCAAGAATAAAAAATATGTAAAGATTAGCACAATCATTTCCTTTCAGTTGAATAACAAGCAAAACATTTCCTATTTAAATCTCTGCAAAATATTACAAGTAAATATAACAAAGTATATTTATGCTTATTACTAATTATAATGATAAGAATGAGTGACCTGTAATCTGCCCACAAATTGATATGACTCTTAACTTACATACGTGATTTCTCTGATGTTTTCCTCCCTGCATCCTGTCTTTCAGGTATGACGATGCCAAATGGAACCCTCAGGACCTTCCTGTCTGCTTCCTGTATCTTGTCCGGGCGCTGGAGGACTATGCGAGCAGAGGCAACCTCCCTCACTTCTTTGCTCCCGAATGCAACCTCTTCTCGCCGTCCTCCTTCTCTCGTAAAGCTCTGGCTTTCCTCGTCAGTGCCCTGAAGGAGCAGAGGAGGGAGGGCCTGCCCCTACTGAAGCCTCCAGCTCTGGTGCCACCTCTGATGCCCAGGGAAGATTTAGATGAAACCTGCAATGAGACGTTTGAGGAAAGGTCCTTCGTACTGGTTCACTTTGTGGACGCAGCACTGATGAAAAAACTGGGTGTAGCATTTACTGTCCTGGTGGGTTATGCCTTCTATATCCTGTTATCCTGTTAAGTAATGAGAAATGTGAAGTATGATGCTGATTAAGTGAAACCCTGTGACCAAAAACTGATTTCAGACATTTCAGGTGAAATCCAATTAACGTCATTGTACATTGTTTGATGTTATGAAGTAGTTATAAAAAAAACATTTTACATCCTGATATTTTCTTTACTTAATAATAGCATTAAACTTCCAGGTGGACCTATAGTGCATGTCGTAGAGCTATTCCATGGCAGCCTTTCGAGCCATGAAATAGTTCATTGATGTCATTAAAGGTTAGGTTGTGTTCACATTATTTACCTTTATTATTATTGTTGTTGTTGTTGTTGTTGTTGTTGTTGTTGTTGTTGTTGTTATTTCCCGTTCCCTCACCTTTTCTATCTATGTAGAATTTTAGATCTTTTTGAATTATTGTGTTTTTGTGAAAATCGGATTTAATGTGACTTCCTTGCAACCTAAAAAAACAAAATTAATAAATCTATTTTATAGAGAGGTATTTAAAGTGTAATAAAGGCAAATAATAATAATAATAAAATACAAAAACATTAGTTTGAGTTTTTTGTGTGTGTGTGGCTCAATTCACCATTTTAAATGTTGTGTTTTTGAAAAAATTAAGTGTAATATGACTCAGCTTCATAAACAAAAATATTAATAGATCAAAAAGGGAAACTCATCCAACAGCTTTTCCATTAGGTGTAATTATTGCTTAATTAAATAGCAATATATAGAAAAGATAATACATTGGATGATAATTATTGTAATTTTTTAATTGGCTTGCTTTCACAAATAATTATAAAAGAAATGAGGACGGCTTGCTTCGTCTTGAAATTGTTTTGTCTGGTAAAAACTCTGAAGACAAAAATATATTTAATCAACATATATTTAATTAATTAATCCTGTAAACAGATATTTACAGGATGGTAGTGAGACCTGCTAGTGTTTGTTTGGAAAGGGTGGCTCTAAAAAAAGACAGGAGGCCAAGCAGGAAGACACAGAGTAGAAGATGTTAATATTTCACTGGGAATGACCTGAATGGACAACATAAGAACTGAGTGCATCAGCAAGACAGCTCAGGTTGAGCGGTTAGAGAAGCGAGGCTGAGGTGGTCTGGACATGTGCAGAGGAAGGATAGTGGATATACTGGACAGAAGATGTTGAATATGGAGCTGCCAGGCAGGAAGGAAAGAGGAAGAGGAGGTTCGTGGATGCAGCGAGGAAGGTGGTCGAGAGGGTTAGTGTGACAGAAGAGGATGTTAGAGGCAGGGTGAGATGGAGGCTGATGATCTGCTTTGGTAACCCCTAAAGGAAATAGATTGAAAAGACATAGTAGTTAACAGTGATACAGAAGAAATACACATGAGCATCTTTCAATAGACTTGAAGCACCTGGCAGCCAGCATAAATGCCTCCTCCTGCCTATTAGCGCAGTTATGTTGAATTTTGAAGCGTTGCTTAAATTATAGTGGGAAACAGGGCAAAAAAAGCACTGTGTGTTAATTTATCAGTCAAAACTGCTGATTTTACCTTCAAAAGAAAAAAGTTTAAAACTTTCTTTTATGACGTCTAATATTTTAGCTCTATTGTCATTTTAACTTTATGATATATTTTTAACTTTATTTATTTTTGTTGTTGTTGATGATGTTTTTAGCTGTTATTATTATTTCACGTTACACGGAACCTTGGCTCTCTCCATCGATGTTTCCTCAAGCCGCGTTTCGGTGAACCCACGACTATAAATATACGTCGCCGGAAACGAAACGCCCTCTTTTAGTGATCCAACATGGCGGTGAGTATCGTCTCACGTCGTACTGTGGCGATGAAATGTGAAGTTACGGTTAAAATCTGCAGTCATCGGAGCAGCAGGCTCATCCTGATGGCTGATCCGTCAACAGAGCCATAGACCTCACTGTGGTTGATCACACTGGGGTCGTATTTGTACATAAAAGTTGGAGAAAAGTGATTAAAAGTAGGAAAGCGAGTAATGCTAACCAGCTAGCCGCTAACAGACTCTGTGAACCCGTGCGCTTCCGCTATTAAAGTTCAGATTGCAGAGACGTTCAGGCCGCTTTTTGAGCGTGTCGTTATTTAATCGAGGTGTTTTTAGGCAGTTTAACGGGGTTGCCAAAAATCAGGACGTGTATGATTCTTGTGTCAGTGCTAACAGTAGCATTAGCAGCGGGGATATGTACGGACATGTTCTCCGGCCGGCATGTGTTGATCTCAGGCTGAAGTAGATCAGATCATTGACAGGACGTAAGAGACTGAAGGAATAAACTGAAGCTCGAGTAAGGCTGGTTTTTTAGCGGAACAGGAGCAGCTAAGATGGTGTGAGGACTTTGGATGATGGTGGTTTTGTCATGTTTTATATTTTTGAGTTGCTGATCCTATGTGTTGTTCCCTTTCAGGACCAGGGTGAGAAGAAGGAGAACCCCATGCGAGAGGTCCGCATTCGCAAGCTCTGCTTGAACATCTGCGTGGGAGAGAGCGGAGACAGACTGACCAGAGCTGCCAAGGTGCTGGAGCAGCTCACGGGGCAGACCCCCGTCTTCTCCAAGGGTAGGTGTCTGTCTCACTTTAGCAAAAAACACAACTTTGTCACAGTTACACAGTACAACCAGGTTCAAAGGTAAAGTCCCTGTGTATATGATAAAGGACAGTACAAATATACAACACAAGAGTGCCATATGGACAGGTGAGGGTAAGACCAAACAGAATCTAAGCTATTGGGATGAAATGGTCTCTGAGGCCTGAGTTGTGAGTATTGAAGACTCTTGTGTTGCCATTATTTGTATTTTACTTTGAAAACTCACTTGCCAATGGCCTCTCTTGGACTTGCGTACCTCCTGACAGGAGATGGTGACTGTAGTCCTCGTTTGGCACACCGGTACATTAGTGATATTGTTGCCTGTTGCAGGTTCTAGTCGGGTCCTCCTGCATAGAAAAACAAAGTTTTCACTTTCTAGCTGTGGTTTAGTCTTAGTTATTAGTTGTACTGTAATAAAATATGCATAATTCACTTAAATTCACTTCTGCAACTGGTGCTGATGAGTGAGGGCAACAAGCCAGCAAATCTGTGGTAACGGCTCCGGGTTATGTTTCTGTTCTCGGTTGAGTTTAAGCCTGTTTCTTAAAGTCAAGAAAACTTCTTTGAAAAGTCTATTTTACTGTGAAAAAACAAAAATGATCACCAGACTTTTTCAAATCCTAAAGTCAAATGTAAGCAGCTGAACAGAGGTTATGATTAACCGCGGCACACATCCCGCCTTGTGTTTGATGGGCCAGTAGTAGTTCAACTTTTTAAACTACTTCCTGTAGCCCCTTGCTATGTGTCTAATCTTAAATGTGTACCTCCTTGAGGAGGAATGGACTGCATTTTGGAAATATTTCACTCCGCTTCGTGCTGTTATGGGGACTTAAAGGTTGTCTTTGTTTCCTCCTCCTGCAGCCCGCTACACTGTGAGATCCTTTGGTATTCGCAGAAATGAAAAGATTGCTGTCCACTGCACCGTCCGTGGAGCCAAAGCAGAGGAGATTCTGGAGAAGGGACTCAAGGTCTGTGTCTCCATGTCATGTTTTACCTGCATCCATGTGATCTTTTTCCACTTTTCAGCCCTTGGTGTCGCTTACCCAGACTGATAAATGTTAAGGTTTTATATTGTAGTGTTTAAAATTAGAGTAAAATTTAAAATCATAGAAAACTTTTCAATAAAAAATTCATCGTTCTTCACAAAAAAAATTTGTATGAATGTAGAGTTATTCAAATTGACATGAATATTCAGATTTGTTGTCGTGTTTTGGGGGAATTTTCTTGTGCTGTTGCTGTAAATCTGTTCTCCTCTGCTGCTTCCAGGTGCGTGAGTACGAGTTGAGAAAGAACAACTTCTCCGACACCGGAAACTTTGGCTTCGGCATCCAGGAGCACATCGATCTGGGCATCAAGTACGACCCCAGCATCGGCATCTACGGTCTGGACTTCTATGTGGTGAGGAAGACTCAAATGCCTTTAAGAGTAGATAATTGTAGCGCTTATTTGGTGGGTCAGTAACGGCTACTTGTCTCCTTTTGCTTTGATTGTTCGTGTGTGGGTGCTTGATGTTGTTTGGACCTGTCATTCAAGGTTTTTGAGGGTTTTATGGTTTTAGATGACAGTAAGACAACAAATCATAATAAATACGATGTAACGGGGATTTATTTGACTCATTTAATCCTCGGAGCAGCTTCCTGCAGTAGGTTTGTCTCAAGTGCTTATGTTTAGCAGTGTTTTATATTCATGTCAGTTTATTTGATGCCATCATTGTAGTGTGGCCTTTGCAGTGAGGCACAGAGACTTTGTTCTGATGTTGTCCTTCCATTTTTTATTTTTTATTTATTTATTTATTTTGCTCATTTTATAACCACAAAAAAATATTTTAAGCTTGACTAAATTAAATCAGTGAGGGGGAACAAAAGTTCTTTACCTTTTAAAACCGAAACCTAAAAAAAAAAAATTAGCGTGAAAAAATAGCATACAGCTTGACAGGTTTTGCTGTATAATAAAATAAATGAGAATTTGTCTTCAGGGCTGCGATACGCAGATTTTCAGCCTTTTTTTTTCTTTTTTTTCTTAGTACTTTTAATGTAAATCCAATTTTCCAAAAATACCAGGAAACTTGACTGAGGAAGGTGATTCTTTTGAAATCCCAAATCAGGAAATCGACAGGACTTCAGTATGAATTTATACACAGTGTAACAAACAGCACAGTCACACAAATATAAGTGCTGGAAATGGTGTAGACTTCATCGTACTCTCTACACAGAACACGCTAATTTAAATTGAGCTTTAGACCTCCCACCAGAGGAGGTGAGCAAAGACACGAAGAGAAAGTTAATTTTTAACAAAACAGCCTAGTTTAATTTTAATGTGGTGACAGCTGAATGTGAAGTGCGGTGCAGCTGCATAGACTGTCATTATAAACCCACTCACAGCTGCATGCTGTTTACTCGGATGTGACGTCTGATTTAGAAATCACACACAAAGCTGATCGTCTTTAACTGAAGCAGTACATAAAAAGTTAAGCTCTGCTTTAATGGAGTTTACTTTCTCCTATTGAAGTCGTGCACTGTGCAGCCAATATTTGCTAATGTTTTTGTAACATTCATAAGTATTAAATGATTGTTTTTATTTCATAAGCGAATCAAGTTTTGAAAACTGTTTTGGGGGCTGTACTGAGGTCAAAGCTTTGGCTTCACAGACGCGCATCCATGCTGCTCGGAGCCTTTTCTGAAGCGCTCTCCCCTGTTTGTTGCGTTCAGGTTCTGGGCAGACCCGGCTTCAGCATCGCCGACAAGAAGCGGAAAAGGGGCCGCATCGGTTTCAAGCACCGCATCCGCAAAGAGGAGTCCATGCGCTGGTTCCAGCAGAAAGTGAGTACACAGATCCTGATTGCTGCCAGATTACGTGTCCTTTATGGAAGAATTACCCTCTGTAGGGCAACACTTTCACCACCAGGGGGAAGAGTTTCCCACTGGGTGTGCAGCTCATTTCCTGTAGAGGCTTGACCTTTTTATAAGACCACTGTTAAGAACGAGAATGTGCTGTTAGTGACCTGCATGAGTGAAGGTTGGGTTGATTTGGTCATAGCAGGTGCTTCTTTACATTTTTTTTTTTTAATAGCTGACGTTAATTTTTGAAGTTTTTAAACAGTTTCGAAAGAAAGAAATTTAGAAAACGCTCCTTTAAAAGCGACAAAGAGGAGGAACAGGATGTTTGACTCAGTTTGAGTGTCATAAACCTTTCAAAGCTCAAATGTTGACCAAATGTTAAACCTTTATTTTGAAGGGGAAACCCTGATATTTGTTGAACTTCTAATTCAAGTTAAATGCTGAACATGTATCATAAGATTTGGTGGATAATTTGCTGAAAAGTAGCACCTTTGAATCAGAGGAGGCTGATTGTATTATTATTTTTGAATTATTGAAAAGGGTAATTAAACTATTTTTAAAAGTTTTGCAGCTTTTTAAAAATTCACGTCCTTTTTGAGTGAAACGGTTCTTCTGAAAATTCAAATTCCTTCATGTGTAACCTCTCATTCTCGTCTCCTCTCTTTCAGTACGATGGCATCATCCTCCCCGGCAAGTAAAGGACCACCTTTTGATCTTGTTTGTAACAAAGTAATAAAATGGGAAAAAATAAGTTTTTGTCTCATGTTTTTTATTTCTCAGATCTTTTAATTGATTGTGGGAGGGGAAAAAAACTGACATGCAGAAATGTGCCGATTATGAGGGAAAATTTTAAGTGTTAATTTCTGAAATGCAGCAGCATTAATTTTACTTGCGTACAGTAGTACTTTAATGTGCTCACTTTAAATGCAAACATGTTTAAAACTGGAATAAAATTCTGATAAAAGTACTAACATCCTTCACTTTATCAACATTCAAGGTATTCTGATTTCCGAGTTGCAGTTTCATTATTTTGCTAATAGTTTTTATTATTATTTAAGCTTTATTTATGCAGGTAGTCCCATTGAGACTCAGTGTCTCATTTACAAGACATTAAAATTGAACAATAAAATGAGTTCTGCTTAACATTCTCACAGCAGTAGAAGAACATGAAACTGCTTAAAGGCAACTTCTTTAAAATACTAGAGGAGTTACAGTTTAAATGTACCCCTGCTGTGACACCAGCAATAATTCACGTCATGCAATAGACACATTAATAAAGAAATAAACATAATGCGTGTTCTGCAAAATGAGTCTTTATGATAAATCACATGCTAAAGAAAACGATCCTCACTGTGTAACAGGAAGTGTTGAGGTGGTTGAGAAGCAGAAACCATGGCAACAAAGGACAACCCTTCACTTTGCAGAGCTCAGCTAGCGCTCTTCCTGTTTCTCCAAGCACAGAGGAGCAGGTACAACTCCTGCTGGATTAGTGGGTGGATCCACGAAGGTTTATGCTTCATAACTGATCGTGATCAAAGACACTTGACTTCAGTAGGATTGTGATTTATCCTTAAGGCTTTAAATGCCTGCAAAATACTCAGTACGATTTCCAGGCTCCTGCACAGTGCCATGTTGCATGTGATAAACCTGTGTTTTTGCACATGATAAATATATATTTATGCCCAAAATGCTGACTTATTTGATTGTGTAAATTCTTCATGTAACTCTGTTACACAAGGGTGATGTAAAATGTAAATTAAAAAGGAATCTGGTCAAATAAAATTTAATTTTTTTTATACCAAGCGCATACATCTATATAAAGCAAATACATTTTTAATTTTATATTTTTGTTGCATTTTACTCAAAACTATTGTTTCATGTTTACGAGGGACAAGGATAATGATTTTTTTAGGTTTTATTGAAATCGTGCAGTCATGTTTCCTGCACTGATTTTCTGCCCTGAAAAGCAGTAAGTCGTTCGTGTCTCCACTTCTAACGTGACGTCTAAAAAGGAGAGTGTCCACAATAAACAACAGGCAGAGTCGACTTGTTTTGATCAGATTGTCTTTATTCAGTGAAACTCCACAGAAACCACCCAAACACATCTTCAGCCAATCAGATAAAGTGCCGGATGCAGAGTATTTATCTGTGAAAGTGCTCCACAGCTGCTGGAGTCTCACTGGTTCTGCAGTTTGTCTTAGTTTCAGTTAAAACAGGTGAGCCGTGACACCACTTAATTCTTTATTTGTATATTTTTATCCTTTTATTCAGATTTTTATGCTTTTTTTTATGTTTTGGGGAAACTTAATTGTTTAGTGTTGAAGCCAAGTTGCTTAACCTTTTTTATTTTTTTATATATTTTTCCAGGCACTGCATCTGCATATTTTTTGTCTTTTTTGTTACGTTTAAGCTACACTACTTAAAATTAAATATTAAATAAATAAATCCTTGACTACATAATCGTTTGTTGCTGGTTTTCTTGAGTTGATCTTGAGTATTTCAAGTTTCCTGATGATAAATCGTCATATTTTTTGCAGTTTTTGTCAGTTTTTTTTTCTCTCGCTGTAGCAGACACACACTCCTGCCATCACTCTCTCACGCTCACACACACATTCACACTTGTTTTGACAGCCACGCGCTGGCTTAGAAACATCTTGGTGCACAACCTGCGGATTCACAGCGACGTTTGATCAAACCACCCCAGACACAGATAACCTTTTTTCCATCTATCCGTCCTTCATCATCCACCTGTCGCCTCTCTTCCTCCACCGGCTCCACCTTCCCATCCATCCGTTACCTTTTCTGTTTCCAATCCACCTTAAACCTCCTTTGGACCATGCAGTCTCCTATTTATTCTTTTTAAAACAGCTCAGGTGCTGTGGTTGTTTGCATCATCAGTAAGGCTCAGATTCTAACTTCATAAAAATGGAGGACACACGCACGTGGACAGAAATGTGTCTTTGAAGACGTTAAATTGGACAAATACAAGACTGGAACTTTGAACCTGAGTTTCAAATCAATCAGCTTACAATTTTTAAAACAATAAAATAGATTATAGCGTCTGAGCCCGTGATCTTATCTTTTTTTGTGTTTTGTTTGTATTTCACTACTTTTTGGATAAATAAAGTATTTCATCTTCTTATTCTTACATACATGCCCTGTCACTTGTACTGGATATTGCATGTTTTCATGTTAGCTGCCTATAATTGCAAGTTTAAATGTTTAAATCTTCAGTCAGATTGTCGATTTGAACGAAGTGAAACACTCTGGAGCCCATTTCTTACTGAACGTCCATCACAGGAAACGCTGACGTCGGTGCAGAGACACTTTTAGTTCACCTTAATCAGATCAGATATAAGTTGACATGCAGATGAATGGTGATGGCTCAAACTGTGGGAGCACCAGTGTGTGAACATGGGGAAGATGTGCGACTGTCGATCAGACGTCATTATATAAAAAACAAAAAACCAAAGACAGGTGTATTTAACTCCTCGACGGTCTGTGGCCTCTGTCGTACCTGAAAGCAATGTCACCATAGCTGTTTTAATAATGTTTGCTGAGTATGCTCACTTCTGTTAATATGAACTTAATATGCATGATAAGTGTGACTTTACCATGTCTACATTCACATTTGAGTGTTTGAGTAAATGTTTTCTCAGATGTTTACATTTATTTTGTCATTTACTCAGCACTTGCGGCAGTTTAAAGGTATTTTTTGTAATTACCCTTTAATTAAACCTGTCACCAGCAGGGGGCAGCACTCTACTGATGTTTGTTGAGATTTTAATTGAGATGTTTTACTTTTGATCTTTCTTTTGATCTACCCCTATTTCCTCGACAGGCTTTGCCTTTTTCCTGACAGCCACAGTAAATACCTTTAAATTTATTAAATTAGTGGCTGGTTAAGCTACGCTGACTTGCTGCAACATATCGTGTTATTACACAAAAATCTGGCCCGGCCCTAGTTTGCCTCTTACACACAGAACACAGATGCTTTGGACATAAAGTCATAGCAGCTTTTCAGAACTTTAGATCGTTTTTCAAAAAGGTTTGGAACTTTTTTAAAATGTAGAAATTTACAACATGTACCTTTAAGTTTATCTGTTTTGTTCTTAAATTGTGACGTTTACTAAACTTTTCAGAAAAGACATCAGACATGATCCAGATGTTGTCCTGAGGTTGACCCCCTCTGCTCTCCTCTGGTCTCTCTCCTCCTCGGTGTTCCTATGCGGTGGTGCTCTGTGATGAAGACATGCTGCTCTCTCTACTTCGGTTCTTGGCAACCTGCTGCTGGTCTTCGTTGCCTGGGGTGTTGCGGTGCTGCCGGCGCGGTGTTTGGCGATGCGGGAGCGTCAGGGTGCAACAGGAGACTCCAACCGTGGGCTCGGGAAGATCCTCGGCCATAGACCAGCTGTCTGTGGCCGGGTCGTATTTCTGCACGGCAGCCTTGTAGCGTTTCTCCGCTTCATTCCAGCCGCCCAGCAGGTACAGCTTTTCTGCCAGCGAGGACAGACCTGCAGTGCTCACACCAAGAGGCAGCGGGGCGGCCCGGCTCCATGATCCACTCTCAGGAGAGTAGACCTCCATTGACAGCACATCCACCCGCTCTCCACCGGGCCCCAGCTGGCTTCCTCCCACCACGTACACCTTCCCTCCAACGGTGGCGGAGCAGTGCCAGCCGCGGGGCGTCTCCATGGGAGGCTTCTCGGACCAGGTGTCGGTCTCCACGTTGTAGCACGCCACAGAGCGGGAGTAGGCGCAGTTGATGTAGCCACCGGTCACCAGGATGTCTCCGGAGGGCAGAGTGGCGCTGGCGTGGCAGCAGCGGGGCATCTCCATGGGGGCACGCATCTGCCAGGTGTTGGAGGAGGGCAGGTAGCTCTCGCTGGTGGCCAGGAGACCTTCCACGTTGCGCCCGCCAATGGCGAACAGTCGACCGCCGCTGGCAGCCAGGGAGAAGTGTGTGCGGCGCTGACGCATGCTGGCCAGGTGGAGCCAGGTGTTGAAGCGAGGGTCATATCTGATGTAGGGAAATGGATGAGGAGAGAGTCAGTTAAAGGCTCGTTCAGGGAAAAGTGGGGCTCTAATATATCTGATTAGGTAAAACCAAAGTAGCAGGGACGGGTTACTGATCTCAAGGTCCTGTTGATGTATTGGTTATAAATGTTTTTCCAGATGTTCTGCAGTAATATTCTTTTTATTGCTTTAATATTTTCTGAGACGTGATCTTCTATCAAAGTCACCATGATATAATCAAAGAGCAGCATTAACCCCCTTGTGAGCTTCACTACAGTCAGATATCTGAGAGCGTCCTGCTGGTTGTTCCTGCTCCCACCTGCTGAGGGTGCTGACGGCGTGTTTCGCCTGGTTTCGGGCGTCGTTCTGGTCCTCTCCTCCCGCCACATACAGAAAACCATCCATCACAGCCACGCACTGGTTGAAGCTCTTTGCTGGCAGCTGGGTGAGGTGACGCCAGGTGGCTCCTCCGTCACGAGGGTCCCTCCACAGCACCTAAATGCCAAGGTCAAAGGTCAGTTTGGCATTTTATTAGTTTTAACTGAATATAAAGAGTACAAAACTAGCAAATAAGTCCATCTCAGCCCCAGGATCAAACTACATGTCCTCTCACTCATATTTCCCCATTGAGGGACAATAAAGGATATTTCTGTTCTATTTTTATTCAGTATAGTCACACATTTTTAGCACCGACCTCTCGGCTCAGAGCTCTCTCGGTGAGAGACGGACGCCCTCCGACGATGAGCAGAGTCTGATGCCCGGCGCGGACTCGCGTGCGTCGGGACTGCAGGGTGTTTTGCTGGTAGGGCAGGAGGTGGTAGTTCATGGCGTCCACCAGCAGGCGGTGACACTGGGGGTCCTGCATCATGCGCGGCACAGGCTGGATCTGGCTCACCAGCTCGCTGGCCGGGATGGTCTCAAAGCGAACTTGCGACAGAAGCTCTCCGGCGTGAACCTGACGGGAGGCGTCAAAGTCGAGCCACTTCATGGCGAGCTGGAGGAGGAGATGACATCACTGGATATGAGAGATTTAAAGATTTAGCATAAACTCTCTCATTTTCCAGTCCTGCGGCGGCCATAGTTTTTCAGGAAACCCACATCTCCTGATTTCTGTTTGTCATGAAAAAGTTTTAAAATGTCTTGTTTTGGCACTTATGATTTAGGTTTAATTAATATGATTTGTGATAATAACTCACCGTTTGGATTCAGTATGTGTAATTTGGTGTGCTACTAAACCAGTCCGGAGATGGTACCAGTTTAATGTATCTACTGAGATATTCACAGACTCACATATGGTCCAGTTTATAAATAAAATCACTTCTTCTCAGCTGTTTGTCTATTTAAGTTTGTAATGCGGCTGAATATTAATAAACAGGCAAGGAGTTATACTTGGGGCCTTATGCTCACAGCCGACCTGCAGCTGACTGGTTTGGATTGATGGGTCTGTGCTGGGTTCTCAACAGCTGGTCTGGGGCCTGTTTTTAGTCCTGGATGAAAATAGAAGGAAGTCCCAGAGGGTCAGCGAGTTAACACTGCAAGTGTCAGGAGTCGCCTCCTAGAAGAGCCGGCACTACTTCTCACCTGAGAAGTTGATATTATGTTCCCCCAAATTCACAGTAAGAAGCATTTTAGTAGAATTTGGATTAAAATAAACTTAAGATTAAACCGCAGCTGTGATTAATTCGGCCGGATGTGCTGGAACGATGTTTTATTAACAAATAAACACGATGTTTGACCTCTGACCTTGAAGGCGGTGACCTCTGAAGGCAGCAGCAGTGAGTCGTCCTGCAGGAAGGCCGAGATCTGCTCCAGGGTCAGCTGGTTGAAGAGCGGTGTCTCTGCAAACTGCACAAAGTTCTCCAGCACAAAGCGGCGGGCGGCGTCGCACACAGGCAGGAGGGCGTAGGCGGCGGCGATGTTCCAGATGTAGACACAGGTCTGCACGTTGAGCTCGGCCAGCAGGAAGTCCACGCACATCTTGAGGAGCTGCGGGATCTGCAGGGTGGCGGCGGCGGACACGGTGCAGCTGATGGTGTACAGGGACATGTGGACGCGACCCAGGTAGGCGAAGGTGATGACATTGGCCAGACCTGCAGATGGGGAGTCACCACATAAACTAAAGAACTTAAGAAAGTTGTTTAGATAAGGAGTGTCATGCATCGGTAGGAGCAATGGATAACTGTTTTATTTAACTGTTTTATTTAAACATTTTATTGCCATTTATACTTGAAAAAACTGATTTTTTTTCTGCTTCATAGGATGTAAATCCAATCCAATTTTATTTATAAAGCACTTTAAAATACCCAGCACAGGAACAAAGTGCTGTACAGAAAATAAGTTAAAACAATAGAATAACAGAAAACAGCAAAATAAATAAATAAAACACATAAAACATAAAATTAAAACATAAAATTAAAACAGCCCTATGTTAAAACAAAAACAAGATAAAACAGCATCGAATCACCTAAAAACAACTAAAATAAAAAACCAACATCTCACGTGGTGTCAAAGGCCAGGGTAAAGAGGTGGGTTTTCAAGAGTGACTTAAAAACAGGTAAAGAAGTGGCCTGTCTAATCTCTAAAGGAAGCTTGTTCCACAGTTTGGGAGCTGCTACAGCAAAAGCACGATCTCCTCTAAGTTTACGCCCAGTCCTGGGTATCTTCAGGAGCAGCTGATCAGCTGACCTGAGAGAGCGGGTGGGTGTATAAGGCTGTAGCAGCTCAGAGAGATAAGATGGAGCTAGGCCATGGAGAGCTTTAAAAGTAAATAAAAGAATTTTAAAATGAATCCTAAAAGAAATGGGCAGCCAGTGAAGTGAAGCTAAAACAGGGGAAATGTGCTCAAACTTTCAAGTGCCTGTTAAAAGACGAGCTGCGGCATTTTGCACCCTCTGTAGATGACTAATATATAATGCACTGACCCCAATATAAAGTGCATTACAGTAATCCAGCCGAGTGCTAAGACGTGGATCACTGTCTCAAAGTGCTGCCGTGAAAGAATTGGCTTTATTTTTGCCAGCTGCCTGAGGTGAAAGAAGCTAGATTTTACCACTGCCTTAATTTGATTATCAAACTTCAGATCACAGTCCACTTTGACCCCCAGGTTTGTGACAGTTGGCTCAACATACTGTGCCAGGGAATCTACATACACATTGGGGGTCTCAGTGGAGCTACCAAAAACCATCACCTCTGTCTTTTTATCATTGAATTTTAAAAAGTTAACAGACATCCAAGCCTTAATGTCATCGAGACACTGAAGTAATGGCTGTGTAAGGTATCTGCCTAAATAGTCTGCAGCACGACATGATTCAACAAAAACATCTAAAAGACAGAAAACTATTAACACGCACTCTCTTTTTTTAAGATGTTATTGCTGTAGCATCGGTATAAGAGATGCTGTGATTGGCCATTGTAACAAACTTGGAGGAAGAAGCTGTACATTTGGCCTGGTAACCGTCATGAGGTGCATGAAGTCTGTGGCCAAAGGAGTTTGACTTATGTTGTAAGCTTTATTTGAAGGTTACATGTAAGAATCTAAGCTTTGTCTTAACATGAATTGAACCTACCAAGAGGCGAAAGGGAGGGGAGCTCGAGGCGCTTCATGCTGGGGTCTTTGGCCAGAATCTCCCTGAAGTACTGACTGACTGAGGAGATCACCAGTTTGTGGACATCAAAGGCTTTTGTCTTACAAGCCAACTCCAGATCAGTCAGGAACCTGGGAGGAACAAAGAAGAAGAACGCTCTAATAAAACTCTAAACTGGTCATTTTCCCAGGTTGTATCGTTCCATAACTGAATTACTGATGTGTTTAATTGAAAGATTCATTAAATGTGTGGGTTTTGCAATGCACTCAATCATAGCTGTAGCCTAAGAAGGTTATATTGTATCATGCTGTTTTGGCGCGTACTGTAAAGTGCCAATAAAAGTTTTTCAGTTCCTTGAAATTGTATTGATGAAATTCTGCCTGAATCTTGAAATTACCCTTGTGTGCCTCAGCAGCCTGTAAACTTAAATTATTGCACAAAAACATATATTACTCTATCACTAACTGAAAGTGTTTTACAGTGTGATGCAGCAGTCAGCATCAAACTAACTTCTCCTGGCGCATCTTGCTGAGCTCCTCCAGCAGGGCGTTGCCGTGCAGGGGTCGCGTGAGCTCGCTGCCCAGGCCGAGGCCTCTCTCTCCGGGCTTGATGACGGGCGGCGGCAGGGGTAGGTTGAGGCTGTTCAGCTGAGCGATGTCCAGAGCTGCCATCTGCTCAATCTTCTTCACCCCGCTCTCCATCACCACAACACCGTCGCCACGGTTCTCCACTTTCAAGGTGGCTGAAACAGCCTCCATGGCGACCTGAGAGATGGTTTCCACGGCAGCCTTCTTCGGACGGGAGGCCTTCTTCTTGGGAGGCATCGTTGGACTGTGGGCGATGTGTTTTTTTCTTTGTTTTAGTCGATCTTTACTTTAATGACTGAGTTTATTAAATTCACCCACTGAGTAACTTACTTTTACAATAAAATGTACAAACGAGTTGGTTTGATCTTCTTTAGGGGAAAATAAGTGTTCAGTGAAGCAGCCTTGGATCAGTGTTGATAGCTGGGTAGGTTGGTGGTTTCACTCTAACACAGCACACAGCACCTGGAAGAAAACAGAAGCAGAAATTTGGAGTTCACCAACTTGTCCAAGTACTTTGATGTTCAGCCTGGGGGAGCTGATGACCGACCCAACAACCGTCCAGTTGGTCAATGACCAACTTTGCCTCCTGGGCCACAGCTGACCACAGGTTTACAGGAGCTGCTCTTCCCAGGTGCTCTCAAATTCAAGTGCTGACCAGGCCTCAATTTGCTTAGCAAGGAAAACAGCCCTCAGGTCCCTCCCTCACTACCTCGGCAAACACTTTGCCGATCAGCTTTTGGATTATGGTCATTATCAGAGTCAGAATGGATGATCACCTGGGATACACTCATTCACTAACAACCAATCAAATCCACCCCTCAGTCTTCACATCTAGTTTTAAAATGGTGACTCAGCTTGAAGCTTCATGATGTGATTTCCCTCTCTGGTGTAAACAGTCCTGTTACATCATCCCAGTTTCCTTTATAGTTATTGTTATCTGGTATTTCCAGTATTTTATTCTCATACATTTTTTTCATTATTGCTGAAATTTTGTTTAACATCGCAGTTTTTATATTTTGTACATATTGACGAAGCACTTTGGATCCACTTCTTACATTTTCTGTTTACAGTATCACAAAATCCACGAGCTTTTCAAAAGTCTCTGTATTATGGTGACTTCAGAATCACTCCCCGCCTACTGACAGATGACCAGTACTCTGACACAACACAACAAACACCGACTGATCATCAGAACCTTTTCCAAATCCCGCAGAGGCTCGCCCGAGGACAAACTCCACGTCTGTAGCTGTGAATGACAGCTGCATGTGTCCTGAGGCTCGGCTCGGGGCGGTGTTTGCGGTTTATAGTGGCCCACTGTTGCACATCACACGCTCCGTATTTCACTCACAAAGCGACCGGGGAATCTTAGTCACGCTCGCAATGAGTCGAGCTCTACAAACTGCCAGAGCAGTGAGGTGACCGAGAGGAGGCGATACATGGATGTTAGAGGGTGTCTGAAATAAACAAAGAGTAGAAATGTTGCATAGGGGACGTCCTGCATATGCTGAAAGCATATAGGTTCAGTTGTGCATGAAGGATGGAGGGTGTCGTCTTGTCTTTTCAGCTGAAAACAGTAACATCTTGTATATTATATGCATAAATGTATTTGTGCAACTGGTCTGGGATATTGTTTACAAACAATTTTCACTGAAAGCTTTCGGATTCTACTTATTCTGGTTTGGTTGGTTTATATCTTAAATCAGGGATGACAAACTCATTTTACATCGTGGGCCGGACTCTCCCCTTTCTGTCAGTGTAAAGAAGTTTGACTGCACATTTAATCTCTGAGAATAATATAAGAATAAGAAGTGCAATATCAACAGCACATCTCAGTTTTTCTGCACGATAAAGAAAAGCTGCTCTGGTAAAACAAAAAATGTATCTGCACGGAGCTTTGGGCCAAAATTGTAAGAAATAAATGTGAAATGAGAACTGATTATTTCTACTGTAGATAGTTAAAAAAAACAACCAAAACCCAGGAACTTTTACATCATTTAATCATTTATATATAACTTAATAACGTTGGTGTAGTATGAACATCCATTGGGAGAAAAAGCTATAAAAGAAAATATTAGCAATCTTTACTGCAAAGAATCTGTCTGTTTGTGTCTTTTGTCTTTGTGTGGCACTGTTTGGTTCACACTGACAAACACATCCTTCTCTGACGATGCAGGACAAACAACAAATTTCAAATCTTTTGATAAAAACTCCTCATCTGAAACTCGGTGTGTCTGCTTTGTGCTTTATATGCAGCTATTTTCTACATCAGCTGCTGCACTCGTGCGCGATGCAGTGAATGAGCGAAGGTCACGATGACACGGTTATAAATGTTAGTGACACAAACGCAGAGGCCTCCCTGCTCTGTTTGCAGAGTTTTAAAGTGTTGTGGACATGCAGCGATAAACAGAGACGGTGATCTTTGTTCTTGGCTCACAGTTTGTTGATAACGAGCTCTGCCAGTTATAAAACCACACAGCCTTGGAAATAGCAGCTTTGCCCTTGTTGTCATTCCAGAACATGTTCAGTAAGTCCGCATTTCCTTTGTTTAGTGAAGAACTGGGCACAAGTGTAGATTTCAGGAGGGATAAACCATTAAAGCATTAAGAAGCAGAATTTGTCATTTTTGGTGTAACTGTTGCTCTCTTAGCAAAATAATCTGCAAAACTTATGAACGTGTGCTTGCACAACGACTGGACGTAGTAAGGTTTAATATGTTAAAATATATGAGCTTATTTCTAACATGTTATTAATGTGATTTAAGCTTTTTTAGATGGTGTAAATTAATGATGTTGTCTCTCTGCCTCCGTTATGTTTCTCATGCTTCCTTTGCTGCAGAATGTGGCTGATCTAAATCGTTAACAACATCCTCTGATGCGACCACCAGTGTTACTGTATCTGTAATCTGATGCTGTCAAACCTCTCAGCTCATCAAAAAGACGGCTCGGTTAACTTCTAGCCTCATGGAAAAAGTATTCCTACACCCACAACTCAAACATAACTGCAGTGAAACCACCGAGACCACAGACGTGATTCACCGCTCTTTCCACCCTCCTCCCTTAAATAGCGCCTTTGGGCTCCACATAAGGACGGGCAATGGTGGGAGATGGGATAGTACAGGACGGAGCAGCAGCTGTTGTTGGTGTCATATGAAGAGGAGGAGCTCAGAGTTACAAATGGTCACTTGGAGTGTTGCAATCCCTCCTGAAACAGTTGAAACAGTAGCGTTTAGCCGACTGCTAAGCTGCTGTATAACCTCATACATCAGAAGAAGAAGAGTGAAATCACTCCACAGACTTTCGGATCTGTGACTGTGACCTTGGCCGCTCCCCTTCAGTTTGATGGTAACAGCAACGCAGAGCCATTAAAACATGAAGCACCAGCAGAGATATGAAGACAAAACCAAACGTAAATGTAGAAAATTGAAAATTTACAGCCTGATCTTAAAAGATATGCAAACTTTTACTTATAGAAATTTCAAATAAAGTAAGAATTTCTTTTTCAGTCCCATAAAAATCGCATAAACATGGCACAGAGGCCCCAAGGGGTGCACGATGAAGTGAGATTAGTGGCTCAGCGGGCTATTTCAAGCTTAAAGTCAGAGTTTTCAGTGTCTTTGTGCCTGGCTAAATCACAGCAGTAACATATGCTGAACACAGAACCTGGTCAAGAGCAGGTTATGTTCACAGTTTAAAATCGTCTGACAGACCCAGGTATTCACTAATTCTTTTATTTAAAGCATGATGTAAGTGCAATACAGATTCTTCAAGCTGGTAATCGGAATATTGATTAAACCCAAACTGAGTGCGAGTCTCTTTCACACTGCTGCAGCTGCCAGAGCACAGAACACACACCAGGAATACCTACTTCTGTATCTGCTGGCAAACTAAAGCGATTTCCACGTCTCCTTATCAGAGCTCTAAGTCTCAGATATAAACAGCAGCACTGAGGGCGCACTCTGCCATAACATAAATAAACAATAAAATGTTTATTTTACCGCTCAGTGCGATAAATCACCAGATTTAACCATTTTCTGTGACTTAATCTCTTTTTGCAACGACTATGCATTTTAATGATTTTTATCACCATTTTATTATTATGATCATGTGATAATGGAAGCCTAACAGGGAGAGCTGATAAGCACCGTCATACCTGTTAACTCCAGCTGGGATTTCAGGTTTTGTCAGTTAACACAAGGAAAGTCTGTCTTATAGCATACCATGGTTCATTAATTCTAATTAGCAAAGGTGACAATGCAACAGCTGGTTACTGCGTCCCAACAGCTGTCAGTGAAGGTGGCCACGCCCCTCAGAGAGAAACTATCCACAGAAAACTGTAAGCAGGTTTATTCCTGCTGTGAAGCTGGATGTTTTAACCTGGAGGTTTATGGGGACTCAGTTTAGGAGCAAGCCTCAAGTGGCCGTAAGAGGAACTGCAGTTTTTTTTTATCACATTCAGGCTAATCAACGCCTGCTATTTAGCTAAATCTGATTAAGCACCTTTTTCTTGGTTTACACAATTTTATGCTCATGGTTGAACACCGGACAGTTTTTGTTCTTCCTCATAAGACAAAGCCTACATCCTAAATCCTAAAGGGAAAAAACGTCCACCGGTATTTTAACCCAACTAGTTTAGAAGAGTAGCTTCAGTCTCTGCAGGCTACTGAATTTCATTCCCTTTCAAAAGTTAAACACAGTGTAGTTATTTATACATTTGTCTACCATATGAAAGATCCCCACTTCAGTCCATGGAGGATACACAAATCCCTTTGAGGTTGAATCAGGAAAGGAAAATCAGCCAAATCCTCTGTGGTGACTCCATTGAAAGAGGAAGCAGCTGAAAGTAGCTTAGCTTAAATGTTGAAGCATTACTTAAATGCATGTTTTACAAGTGTAATTTACTAAATGTGGCCTGTCACAAATATTAATAAGCCCACTCTCTTTCATATAAATGCATCTGGAATAAAAAAAAAGCCACTAGCTGACGCTGTGCTCTCGTAGTTTAAACATAAATAAATCCATCTATCATTTCCTTTAACATGTAACATCTTTAAAATCAAGATTTCAGACAAACTTGCTAACGAAGTGATTCAGTGCTGTGAAAATAATCTTTGCTCTGTGTGGGTCAGCTGTCACAAATATCTGGGACCAAGGTTAGAGGTGTGAGCAGCTGCTCCGTCGTCCACCGTACTGGGAACCAGACCTCCACCCCCAGCTCCAACCACCAACAACAACAAATATACCTCTTTCAAAACAACACGATTGAGCATTAATCAGTTTGAGTTCCGGTGTTATCACAAAAACTGTGAGAAGATCCTGCCTCCTGTGGTTAAATAAAAGCTCTGGACTAAAGCGGATCAGCCCATATGTGTAATAGATTACTCTGAAAGTTATTAATGTAAACATGCAGCCGAACACAAATAGAGTTCAGTTTGAATCGCTGCCAGTGATCACATGATCCATCTGTGGGCTGATTATTTTCTTATTTACAAACATAAACATTTTTAACATTGTTGCCCATTTCAGCTTCAGCTCTGCTTTTCTTTGAATTTGATTATTGAAGTTATGGAGCTGTAATGAGCCTCACAGTTTCTTCTCTGCAGTCTAATAGATGTTTGTTTGTGTCTGGTGGAAAAGAAAAATACATCTTAAATGATGTTGAAAACACTTTTTAACTGTATTAATTTGCTGTTGCCACACGTGCTTTTTCACCTGAAGAAATAGGAACTATTTTACTGTGAAATACAAGGAGGAGGCTGGTAATCTAAGCACTGGAGGTCCAGCTTCAGCTCTGAAATTTTATTTTTAAACCTTGAGCTCTGTGCTCCTGTGAAGCTGCTCTGAGTGTGTCGCACTTCTCAAAGAAGCACAAATTTTGTCCAATAATTGTCACTCTGCAGAAAACGAGCAGCGTCTTTTCAGTTAAACGTGTAAGAGCTGCACAACACAAGCGCAGTCTACAGATTCTGATTTTCCGAGTGTGTTTATTGTTCCTTTTTGTTGTTTTTAAACTTGATTAGAGATGTGTTTTCAATCAGCAGTGATTCAGGAGTGAAAAACTACTTATGAGAGGGAAAAAAAACTCTAATGTGCCAATTTAAAAAAAACAACAACTATGTATTAAGTGTGAATTTATCTGCTGCCCTTTGTGACTGGATCACAGTGTGGGAGGTTTAGGAGACGGAGAGCACCTGTCGATGAGGAGGAGCAGCAGCACTCCTCACATCCACAGTGAACACACACAATTATTCTCTCTGGCATAAAGAGCAGCTTAAGTCAGCAAACTTTCATTTATTAAAGTATAATTTTGAATTAATAACTTATATAATTCATATATAAATGCTCTGATTATTTGCTGTTTGATGCTCAGCAGGAAGTGACTGATTTTAGAGCAATTTCACCGATCAGCTGCTTGCTATAGTCTGAAACATCGGCGTTATTTACAGAGTTAAAACTGGTCGTTGATATTGTTTCCACGGACAGAAATAGAAAGCCATCTGATTCATACCTGAATTGTTTGGGAACAACCGTCACACACAGTCTTCTCCATAGTGTGCGTGGAGAGGATATCCCTAATCTGGATTACACATAAACAACACCTTTATACAGACATCTACAGTGTCTGTGTGTAAATTCTGCCTCATTTGTTGCCGGGTAAACCTATTTATCTGGTCTCTCACAGCCTTCAGCTCTCATGTGCGAATTATAAATATTGATGTGAGAATTTCACACGTTTGTTCTTCTTCTTACAAGCTAGAATCTTCTGTTTGTTTCACTTTGTTTGAAATCTTGATCACAAATTTGCCCGTGCTGGAAAATCCAATCAAACTTTTTAAACCAAGAGTCTCAAGAAAAGGCGATCAGCTCGATGTAGAAATGGTTGCATTTATAACATTCATCGTTAAATAAAGAAATTAGTCAATAGAGAAAAGATTCAAAGCTGCTGAGGTCTTACCTGAGCTACAGAGACAGGTGGGCTCATGCTGTTTTCATGCTTGGGCTCCACAACCAACTACAGGCTCACATACTGTGACAGTAATAATAACCCATAATAACTGTGTGCTATACTTTGTGCTATACTGCGTTTATGTCACCTGTACCTGTGCAGCATAAATCCACACGACACAACAGCAGCTCCCGGCTTCTATCACCTTTCACATGTGGCTGCATTCCTCTGCTTATCTCATACGGGTATTTATAGAAGCTGACCAGCACTACAGGCGTGTGTGTGTGTGTGTGCTCTAACACCCCCTGCGGTACAGTAATATTCCAGCAGCAGCTTCTTCACATTGTTTCCACTCAACAGTTAAATATAAAGATTAGAATAAATTCTAGTTTTTATGATAATAGCATAATTTCATATTGAGATAATTTCATATGTGTTTTGTTTTTATTTCACTTTAATAAAATCTCCTCAACATGCTGTTAAGCATTGAAATTAAATGTATTTTACCTCTTTCTCTGGCCTCGCTCTTGCTCTTCTTCTCTTCCTTTTCGTCTTCTTTCACCGTCTTTCTTTGTTCTGGGTGGTTGTTCACTCACAGGTTCCTCTTAGCTCCGTCCCTCTGTCCTCTGTCCATCTGCAGCAGTGCTGTGTGTGTGTGTATGTGACTGTTTGTGTGTCAGTATCAGGGTCCCCAACAAAGCTGTAACGTATGATTCAACCCCCCCTCAGACCCTCCTCTTTCGTTTCCCTTCTCCAGCATCCACCTCCATTTCCAAATACAGGCACCCCCTCATCACCCCTCCCCTCCTAGAATAGAATCCATAACAGGCCTGCTCTCTTCTCACCACCCTCCCTCCTTTGGGACCTCAGGGTGTCAGGTGTTAAACTTGGCTTCTCTCTTGTGTATCTGTTTTCTTTGTTAGTTTGTTGCTCAGCTTTTTCACACCAGCAAACAGGGTTAGCATGGCTCAATAGTTATTTTATGATTACTGCAAACATTAAGTTGTCTAGTGTTTAGTGGATAGTAATAAATGTGCCTGGAATTTAAATGCAACAAAAACTGACAACTGGAGTCATGCACAGAATTGACATCATATAAAAATATCACCTGTGTTGTTTCACGTAAACATGCACTCAATAAATATCAGCAATTCAAATCCAAACAAACCAGACAGCTACAGGTTTGTGATTCCTGATGAGATGCTTGGATAATGCAGTGGTTCACATATCACATAGCAAGCAAATGACTCCTGGTTTGATCCCAAGAAAAGACACATATCCTCTTGGCGTATGTCAGGAGGGCAACTGGTGTAAAAAAAAAAAAATCTGCCAAATCAAACAAGTGAAGCTAACTGCTGTGGTGACCCTTTGTGAATAAGGAGGTAGCTGAAAGTAGCTTTCCTTTGTATAAAAGAATAAATTAACTGTAAGTCAACCAACACTCTAGTTTTAGGAATGAATCTTATGACATAACTCTGAGGAAAACATCCAGCTCCAAGTTATCGCATAGTCAGTGATACCAATACATTTAACGTGGAAGACATTTGTGACTTTTTACACAAGCTCCTGGAGATGCTACAGTATATGCAAGTGCATTCAGAAATGTTGAAGCTGGTCCCCTGGAAACAATTGTTGATAGAGGAATTCAATGAATGGGTGTTCTTGTTTTAAAGTGACCCTTCCAGTCAGTCTGTGGTTGACAGCATCTCTGCTTTGTCTGTGCTTATGAACATTTTTTATGTTACTTTAGTGAAGCTTAATCTGTTTGGGGGTATGGTAGCCAAACTGAATAAGATGGGGTGAGTTTACGCCATAAGCTTAGTTTTTTATGTTCATTTTTTTTTTGTGGAAAACAAACTAATACTTTTATAGTAAGTTCACTTTATTGTGTTTATTTTGCTTTCAGATTGTTTTTAAATCATTAAGGGGTAAAAAATAAATAAATAATTCTACATCTTAAATGAATGTACGTGTTGAATTACGTTTGACTTATGTTTTGTTTTTGTTTTGTTTTTTTCTTCCTGGCACTGGGCTTTTATTTTTTAAACTCCGTCGTCCCAGGTACCGGAAGTCGCCTCGTTTCTTCCCTTTCTCTGATCGGTCTGGATCAAACCGTTTCCGGGCGACAGGGTACCAGCAGTAAACATGGCGGAGGAACTGCTGGAAACAGTGGAGAGACTTCAGTCCCGGCTCCAGGAGAACCAGGAGCCCCGAAAGGTAACGGCCCAGCAGGTCGACACGGACACATTTGGTGGTCAGCACCGATCGTTCCGCGAAACGTGACCGACAGACGTGAGGACGCCGCGGTCACGGCGACGGCTCCCAGAAAGTCGTAACGTTTTTTAAATGCTGCGTTCACGGCTCGCTCTCCGACTCTGTCTTCTCACATTTCTCGGTTCAGACTGTGATAATGAAGCATCAGCAGTTTCCTGAAGTGGCAGCTTTATTTGCAACACAATGCTAATCTAATTCATTTGCAGAGTATTAAATTAGCATTGGGATAACTGTATGATAAAGAAAGTATTTAAAAAAGACATTAGGAGAATAAGATCAACAGTTCACATTTCTAATACTTCTCATCATTTCTACATGTTGAAATCATAATATAAACCATAGTTGTACTGTAAATATCTCCACTGTCTGTTGCTGTGTACAACAGATGTTTGAGATTATGATTTGGGTGTAATTTATTATAGGGATAATGAAAGTATACACCAGGGAAATCATACCTGCCACTAATCTGACACTGATTCTGGGCATTGATGTGTTTGGTATATAAACAGTTACTCTTGCCTCCTTAAACCAATATAGCTAATAGGATTTCCATTTCTCACTCATGTGTGAGGCAGCAGCTTCAGCTGTTAACTAGGCCACTGAGGAAGACTCACTCTATAGGTCCCTATAATGACAGTCCTCTGTAGATATTGGGGCAGGTGTCTGTCAGTCAGGAAATTCAACATGTTTTAACGCTACAATGCTTATGACAGTTCGTCACTCATTCAAGTGAGTTCTTCAGTCACTCAGTGAAGCAGAGACTGAAAAAGTCACTTGAATGACAAAACATTTCTCCCACTGAAAACGCCACATCCAGATTAACAGAGTCAACTTTCAGGGATTTTATTACCTGGAAGATTGAGCATGCATCAGGTCATTTACTTGTTAACAGAAGCTGCATCTGTGCCAGTCGTACACATTTTCACATTTCTAAAATGCAACTTATTGAGTAATAGATTAACAAAAGCTTTTGGCATGGTGTCGTTCATATTTGTGATTTTTTTTTACTGTGTCATGCAGAAAACACCAAATTCCCTAAACAGCTCTGCATTTTTAAATCTTACCTCATCACAGTAAGAACAATTCACACAGCCTGTCGTCTCCCTGGATGTTTTAAAATCTGAATCTTTTTTTTTTTTCAACCATTTATTTTCAGTTATAGCAAGTAATTGTAATATATTTATATATTGTAATATATATTGTAATATAATTAAACTTATTTAAATTAGTCATACACATTGATTATATAAACTGAAAATGTCATGACCCTCTGTAGCCCACAGAATTGTGGGATTTATTTCAGAGATAGGATACATTCACTTTAAAGTGTGAGTAGGATACATTCACTTTAAAGTGTGAGTGATACCAATATCTGATTAGATAAAAATACAATATTCTTTTATATATCTAGATATTTCTAATCTTTAAAGCACACAAAACATAAAGAAATTTCCCTGACATCAGCCACGTTTGATTATTTATTTACTTGTTTGTTGTATTTGTCTCTTGTTGCCAGCAGGGAAGCTGCAGAGCGCCCTCTGGTGGACAAACTATGGAACATCACAACTAATAATATGGTTGAATGGTGTTTCTCCCATCTCTTTACTTTCTTAACTTTCATTTATTGACCATTGTAAATTCAGACACCGATTCAAACACTGCAAATAGCTGATATTGGCTAAGGGATCGGCCAGGCTCTAGTTAAAATATATTAAAAATAAAAAGCTGATCATTTAGTAAATCATAATTATGTAGCAGTGTTTAAATTGATATTTCAGGGACCTTTAGGGACTTTAATTGAAATGCAAATGATTGAATAAAATGTAAATGCATGTTATTTGGCTGTTTAGCTGAATCGTTTGGCCAGTTTGGACAAGACAATATCTGGGTATTTCTTGCTAAATGACCATTATCTGTTATTGCATCAATTCAAATTGTAGAGAGGCATTTACCGTATTTATGTGATTTATTATTGTGTCTAACGTAATCTTCTTTTTTTATAATTTATCTTAACAACAGTATTTCAGAAGGGCGTCACCACAAACACAGTCGTTTCTTAGTATCTCAGTGTGTTCCGACAGCCTGTGAAGGCACCGTGTGGGACGTCACAGTAATTAAGGGGTTTTAACTTGTTATAACGTAGTTGTTTAACCCTACATTTTCAGCTCAATGTAACGATTGTCAGCTCGTTGTTAGTACATATGGATTTATTATCTGCCTTTTATCGGAGCAGCTGCACCAAACACGACATATTTTACCCGAAAACCAAACTCGAAGCTAGAGCATTCGTTAGCCGTTCAGCTAGCTAACGTTAGAAAGTAGTGACAGCTCAGCGGCGACAGGCCTCTGAGATTTACCCGATTCTGGTTAACTGGAGCTGGGCTCCTACTCATGTCCAAACCCGGAGTCTATTGTTAAAGAAAACTGGAGATAAAAGCGTGTAAATGGTGACACACGGCCTCTTGGCTTCGCCTTTGTTTACTGCTGGTGTGTAACAAAGCAGCGTGGATGCGTGTGATGCGTTTGCTGAGCACAAACAAGCTGCACAAGTGAAGCTTTAACTGCAAAAGAAGACGCAAAAATCAGGAGGGAAAAGGTTTTCTAACAGCTCTGCCACGTTAGGCCACCTCATCCTTTAGCAGTGATGGCGCAGAGCTGAGCGCAGATAGTGTGAGTCAGGCAGCAGCTGCAAGTTTCATATGAAGCAGGTCCACGGAGCAGATGGAGCCTCTCTACCGAGAAAATCTCAGAGAGGAAATGCATGAAAATCTGCTTTAACGCCCTGTTTACTTTTCCAGTTTTAATATATAATGAATTGTGATGTACCAGTTGTTTAAGTGACTCGGACTTTGCAGGACAAACAAAAACACAAAGCCTTGCCACTGGGTCCCAAATAATGCAAACCTAATAATGCAATCATGTAATCAAGGCGCACTGAATCTTATCCCTGCCTTTATCTCATCATGCCTGACTGTAACAGACCGATTGCCTTTAAGACCCTCTGTAGTCGCCTTCAGCTACATCTCAGACTTTTTTTTGAACCGTTTGCAGCAGTACCTTGAAATCCTCGGGCAGAGGACTTATGTCTTCTCCAGAGGCTCGGTTGAAACCTCAGAATCTGTTACTGAACATGGAAAAGGTTGAAAATGGAGAGTTAGTTTATTTCAGACATGGAAAAGTAATATTTTAAGAGGTTACCGATCCAAATACAAAGACTCAAAAGCAGTCAGCTCGTTACAGTCTGACTGGTCAGGAACCAGGCAAACTAAAGACAACAGAAGAATAAATATTGATGAGCGACAAAATGTTTTAAAAATTGATACATTAGAAAAATTGAGAATAATTATTTGAAAATAGCTTAGAGTCTCATTGCATTTCATTTTAGATTCTTTTGAACTGATTCCTGTGTTTTCCTTTACATAAAGGAAAAATCCTTTATGTAAAAAAAAAAAGGATTTTTCCTTTTTATTTTTCCTTCTAAACTGATCTTGGAAAAAGTGCAAATTGAGGCATGAAATGTAGGAAATTAATTGTTGAATGCTCAAAATTTCCTTGAGTTTACCCTAGCTTCCCCGGTTTATTGTTTTTTAATGTAATGTGTTTAATTTAAATGAAATGTTTTTGAGATGTTTTAGTTGGTTTTGCAGTCGTTGAATGGTTGTGTTCAGTGTTCAGACTGTTATTACAGCTGCCGTTCTATGGGATAACATCTTTGGGTTTCAGTAGGGATCCATCTGTAAATGTGTCGACCTTTATTTAAACTAGAAATAGTGCGGGACATTTTTAAGGCAAGCACAAAAGGGTAAATCATCTCGTGTTACTTGTGAAGACTCTGCAGACGTTAAAGAGAAAAGTTAAGAATAAATATTTCAAATTGGCACAGGAAATATACCCTGCTTCTTCATTTTATGTTTTTCTTATTCACTATGACAAAATAACAGGAAACCGCACAAATGTATGAATAAAAATTCATCACCCATGATTCTTTACTCATTATCCAGATGCACTCATTCCAGTGTATGTTATATTAAGGGTGACCGCATGTCCTACTTTTTACCTGGGCCTGTACAGCATATCAGCCCTCCACCCATCTAAGATATTCAGACAATGTCCCACATTTTAATTGGCTCTGCTGAGTCTCAAAAGGAGGTGTTGTGTGGATGCATCCCTGCTGAAACCTAAAGATGATTAGCATCTGAATCCTCTGTTTTTACTGGGAAATAAAATGAAAAGACAAAAGTGTACAAAGACAAAACCCCCACAAACTTTAGCTCTTGTATATGCTCATAAGAAATTCCTCACATGGTCAATGCCAAACCAGTGCCAAAGAATTTTAGACTGCTAGTAAATACATTATACATTAAAAAGCGACACAAGACGAGCAAATCTCTTCCAGTGTGGATGCAAATTTAGGCCTCTGAAGGTTCTTATCTGTATCATGCTACGATTACATTATGTTGCCTAGCAGTCACCTGTTAACAGGCCACAACAGTCCCAGCAAATTTACTGCTGTTGTTACAATTCCTTATAAGGATTGTTTTTATGAAACACTTGTGTATCTGTTTAAACCACAGGTGTCAGGCGGGCCACACTACAGCTCAATTTAATATCACGTGGGTCAGACCACTTATACAGCTATATAAAAATCCGCCTTTATTTTAACGTAAAGAAGTTCTAAATACATTTAATTAGCTGTCTTATGTGTATTTTAGTACAAAATAATAAAGTTTGTGGTCTTTCCATTTTTAGTCCTCACACCTCACAGTGTTCACTGTCCAATACCATTCACTGGGCTAGTTGGGACCAGGTTAGTTGAGGATGAGCTCTCAAAGTTTTTGAAAATTTTAAAGCAGGTTTTATGTGTGAAAACAGTAACAGTGGGCTAATTAGAAGCTTTAGTAAAGTTAACAGTTGTAGCTGATAAACAGGCGCAGCGTGAGCTGGTGGAAATCCAGCCTGGGCTGCTGCTGTGTGTCATAGAAGCACCTCAGGTTCAAATGGATCTGCTGGACTTTCCCACTGCAAAGCATGAAGCACAGCAGCAGCCAAAGTCACAGCGATAATCATCATATCTTCACGTGTTCAGTATCAGGCTGAGCTCACGACCAGCAGAGCCCAACCCTCATGTAACGAGCACTAAATGCAGCATCAGGTTATTCCTTTAACTGTACAACACCAACACGCCAACTCTTCATGTGGATTAAAACAAAGGCAGGAATAATCTCCTCTGTCACCTTTCGGGGGCTCAACAGTAATATTTACCAAAACAGCAGCTTCAGTAACTGTTTTAGGAAAATAAATTTAAACAAACTCATTCTGCTTAATTTCAGCTCTATATTTTTATTGTTGGACTCAACCAGAGTAGCTTTTACACGGTTCTTGATTCAAAATAATTTATCTTACACTCTGTCTCCCTTAAGTCCAACTTTCTTGTGATTGACTGTATCTCACAAACAAAAGGTTTGAAGAACAGGTGGTCACGTCTGCAGTATTTGAGTCTTTGGCTTCGTCTAATATGAACAACCATCACTGTAACATAAAATAAGGAAAGGCTCAGTGGTGGAATCGGGACTCTTTCTCCAAATGATACATTTTTGTTTTTCCTTTCTTTTTATTTCAGCTGCTGAAGACTCTGAAAAGACTCGGGGAGCTTCCTATGACTGTGGACATATTGGTGGTAAGGATGTGTTGCTTCATCACCTCCAAACTGTCGATGCAAAAATCAGAGGGAAAATATTCTAGATAAATGAGTGGGACAGCAAGTTGACAGCTTCCCTCCTGAACTTGTTTCTGACCAGTTAAATCGCTTGCCTGGAGCTGCCAAAGCATGACTGTTAAATCTGGGAATTTCTCTCGTAGGAAACTGGAGTGGGAAAGGCTGTGAACTCCTTCAGGAAACACGAATTAGCTGGAGAGGTGGCAAAAAATCTCGTAGCCAAATGGAAGAAACTGGTTCCTCAGTCTGGAGACAGGTATCGGCTGCACACCTCTGCCTCGACATGCATGACTTTAGCTCTCATGTGTCTGTACGCTGTGTGCTCTCTTTCTGCAATGGTCGTATGTAACGATGACTTTTCAGGACAGAAGATCCAAACCTTCAAAATAAAACCCCAAAATTAAATGGCGTCATCTGCAAAAACTGAGTTCTGTCTCCATCTTTCTTCCTCAGACCCAACAGCCACGGCTCCAGATCTCACACACAGGCTCGAGGCCATGACGCGAGCGGCAGAGGAGACCATAAACGTCCCCGAGAGCCCTCGCCTGAGGAAGACCGCTCCTACGTAGAGGAGGAAGAGGAGGAAAGAGGTTACCACACCAACTATTCGCCCTCACCTCCTCAGCACGACCAGTACAGTCCCCCACAGCGAGGAGGGTATCACTCAGACGAATACGAAAGCCCTGAGCCCGAACCTGAACCCAGCCCGCCACCACCTCCTCCCCCTGTTTCCCGCAAAGACGTCCGCCACACCAAACCAAACAAGGAGCCGAGCAAGAACCACCACAGCGACCGAAACCGAGACGAGGAGCGGCGGCAACGCCACGCACAGACGAATAGCGATAGAGAAGGCGGAGGAAGTCAGGGGAAGAAGCGAAGCGGAGACCGAGAGAGACATCAGAGTCCGGTACAGAAGGCTGCCAAACACAGCAAGAAGTCAACCACGCATGACAGCAGGAAGGAGGAGAAGAAGAAAGGAGGAGATGAAGGTGAGTTCGATACTTGTTATTAATCTCGATCTCTCTTCCACAGCATGTCTTTTGTCCTGTCTTCCTACCGGTCGCAGCAGATGGCCGCCCCTCCCTGAGCTCGGTTCTCCTGGAGGGTTCTCTTCTGTTAAAAGGGAGTTTTTCCTTCCCCCTGTCATTAAAGTGTTTGCTCATAGGGGGTCATATGATTGTTGGCTTTTTCTCTGTATGTATTGTTGTAGGGTCCACCTTACAATATAAAGCGCCTTGAGGCGACTGTTTTTGTTATTTGGCGCTTTATTAATAAAATTCACAAGAGCTACAGCCCCTGCCTATGTAGGCAGCTGCCCCCAACCACTACAGGTAACAATAACCAGCTGCTCGAGTAACTGATAGCAGTGGTTAATCTAAAGATAACAGAAGAAAAAAACATCTGCAGAATTATGAGGACTTTAAAACAGTTTAAAATCAAAACATCTGCAGCTCGCTGAGACAACTTCCTGTTGCCTTGCTTGTGGGCGCATACAGGTGACTGCATCACTCGAGTCTCATTTGAATAACAAATTAACCTTTTAAAAGCAGTTGACCAGTCTTTTTAATCTTTAAAAGACTACAGTCAAATATCAGGTTCACAGAAAAAAATTTTCATGTTCCACTCAAGATCCCAGTTTATCTAAAGATACCAAACATGTCAGAATTAATTTGTTACATGTAGCCTGAATAACAATTTAAACTATAACTACACCATCTTCTCCTCACTAAAAGCCCATAAATGTCTTACTGAAAGATAATCATCTTCTTGTTGTACTGTGTAATATTTTACTTTGCTATGAAGGAAATAAGCCGTGAGATTTAGGGGCACTTAAATAATCTTCTTTCTGTCATTTAACTCTTGATTTCTGGTACTTATACCACAGCCAAAACAATTACTATAGAAGGTTAAAGGCAATCATTGTGTGGTCATTTGTGCAGCTCTGTGCAACAGGAAGGTTGTGTGTGTTTTATCAGCTTGGATCAAGAAATATGGCCACAACACAGAGTGACTTCCTGTTCTGAGGAACTGAGCGATCGTAGTAACAGCACGAGAAACTCCTCTGACAGGAAGTGACAAAGTGAAATTTTCAAACTGTTTTCTTGTTTGGTTCATTAACCACAGCATGCATGTGTGAAGCAGAAGAGGAGTGTGTGTTGTTTGGTGATTGAGTAATTAGTTAGTCACTAGTAATTAGGAGTTAACAATTTTTATAATGTAATAATAATTAAAACTTCACTTATGAGGAGGCTGTAACGGTCCGTTGTGCTGGAGGGAACGGAGCGTGTCGATTTACCGGTCAGTCTGCGTCCTCACCCTCACCTATAGTGATGATCGTTGATGCAATCAGCAGAAATGAGTTTCATCTAAAGGATGCCTGGGCTCTACGTTAGAGATCGGACAAGGAGACGCTGTTCCTCCACATCGACAGGAGCAAGATGAGGTGGTTTAGGCATCTGACTGGGACGCTTCCTGGACGCCTCTTAGGTGAGGTATTCAGGCGTGTCGGTGTTGGTGATGTCACTGTTGGTGCTCTTGCAAATGGCGGTGCGTACAAAAAATTATGGTTATGTCAGTTTGTCATGCACCTCTCGGTTTTTAGCTCATCTGGCCAATAAAATAGAAACGCTTATGCTGTGGCGAGGCACCCGTCTGTCTGTCCGTTCACAAGAATCACTCCTCCTCCTCAGGTTTGAATCTAGTTTACACAGAGTGGTCACCTAATGGGTCTTCACAGACATTGTGCTCAAAGGTCCAGGTCATATTTGTTGTTTTGTGAGCAGTAACATGTGAATTGTGCTGCACCGTTAGCCAGATAGGCTACTACGTTGTTCCGATTGTGGCTTGAACCTCCAGACAAGATTTCTGATTTCTTTGCTTCCTGCCTTAAATTCTACTCTTATAAAAGTGCTGATGTCCATAAATCCAAAATAAAATCCTGGATTAAAGTCTTTGTTTTATATTTGTCATTTGTTGAATATTTTAAGAGAAATTAATGCAGTATAATAAATTATGATCTTCATCTTTTAGGGCGACCACGAGTGCCGAAGGACTCTCCATCTAAGGAGGAAGAAGAGGACTTCGAGGTGCCCACCATGTCCTTCGAGTCCTTCCTCACATACGACGCCCCGACGTCTGTGAAGAAGAAAAAGAAGACACCGTCAGCTTCATCTTCATCGCACAGTCGGCCGTCTCACTCCTCCTCGTCAACGTCGTCTTCCCATCGCACACGAACACCTCCACCTGCATCCTCCTCTTCGTCCTCTTCTTCTTCCAAAGCGCGCAAGGCAAACGGCGCTCAGAGTACCAAGAGGACGCATTCGGGGACAGCGGTGACGACGCCATCGAGAAGCAAGGAGGTACCGACTGTTTTTAAACATGTTATTTATCTTTTTATTTAACCAACATAGAAAATAAGCAAAATGGGGAAATCTGTCAGGTCTGTGCGATGCCATGATCTGTTCAGCTATTGTAAAGAAACTCCTGCTTAACACTGTGAAAAGGTAAAACTAGACCTCTAACAGGTGTTAAATCGTCCTTAAGGATTCAATTCAATTCAATTTTATTTATATAGCGCCAAATCACAACAAAAGTCGCCTCAAGGCGGATGACTTGGAGAGTAGAAGAAAATGACCCAGAGCAGATTTCTGATAGCATCGATGAGCATTTTTTTAATTTCAAGCATGAGTCAGTGTTTAAACCGATGACTCAGCTTTAGTTTTCAGGGTGTAAACGTACTTTTCTAACCTTGGAGTGAGCCGTAACTCAAGCTCCCTCTGTGAGCGTCTTCTGCAGCTGTCTGAGTTTTTTCAGTGAGGAAAACTGCAGCTGACATTTGTGTAGGGTTCCTTCTCTTTATTGATAAAGACCGACAGTGCAGAGGGTTCATCCACTCATTGTGACATTAAAGGCTCTGCAGTGATTGTAGAACTTGCTGCTTGCTGCCGTCGGTTTTGCAGTTAGAACTCTGATGGTGTCATGTTGGTGAAAACATCAGATCCGTGAGATGCCTTTAGCCTTTAGTTTTGCTTTTATCTTGTGGGATTTTGTTTCCTAGCAACAGTTGATAACTCCGGTGTCAAGGTGATGCAGAGAGAAGCAGAAAGTAGAAACACCAACCACAGATTGCAGATACAACATAGGTGTGGCCTCCGGGTCTGAAACGTGAGGCCTGCACAGGAGTGCTTTAAACCTGCATTGTTCATTATAACAGCCAGCAGGGTGCGACTCCTCTGGTTGCAAGAACATGTTTAACTTTGTAAAATTCTGTGGGAAAATTACCTATAAGCCCACATGGTTTATGACTTCAGTAAACACTTTAATGATTCATTTATGGCCTAAACCGCTAGTTTAAGGTCTTATTTAATAAAAAATGTTCCTCATTTTGTAAATTATGATGCAACTGTGAGAAATACAGATGATAAAGCAGAGAAATGCAAACAAAGGTCAGTCCATGTTTATGCTATGCTGAACTAACCGTGTACTGGAAGAGCTTCATATTCAACATAAACAAATAAGAGTGTCAAAAGCATCTTGTGCAAGTGTCAAATGTTGGACAATATTAATACGATTCATTTCAAACTTATTTATGTAGCATCAATTCTCAATAAGTCACCTCAGGGTGCTTTTATATTATAACGACCCTATGTTATTAGAATGAAAACTCGATAAATAAGTCAATCTTCGAAAAACAGACACTTGGTGAAAGTGGGGAGGAAGAACTCCATTTTTAATTAAAGGAAGGAACCTTCAGCAGGGACAGTGAGAGGAAGGTATCGGCTGCAACAGTTGAAAGCTGGGTCTCCAGCTGGAATAAAGCAGTTTCCAATGAAAGCGTTCAGTTTAAAAGCTTGACGTCAGAGCATCAGGTCAGCAGCACAACAAGGGGGATGCTGTTGTGTTTTACTGACATTCACAAGGTTCTGCAACATGAGTTTGTCAGACTGAAATGTTCTTGATTGTTTGAGAGAGAAGGTTTAGCAGAAATGACCTTAACTGTGGAAACTCTTGGCCACACAAACACAATCTTTACCTCCTACCTCCCTATGAGTTCATCTATTTCCCCAAAATAAAAACAAAGTGGATGTTTTACAAAAGCAAAAGGATAAAGAGCAGCTCGTGAAACCATCTGAATGTGAACAAGAAGACGACCTTAAACGGAGGATTGGCCAAATCTTGAACTTGTTGAACTCTTCTCTTTCTGAGTAAATCCCTCACTTTGATGAGCTGTTTCCACATCACTGCATCCAGTTACTGTGCAGGTTTAGTATCCATCTCATACCCCAGGACCAGCATTCATTTTAGAGTTGTGCTTCTTCTTCTGTCATATTTAGATTTTCTTTTATTGAGGTCTTGACTTTTGTTTTTATTTTTTGTTTAATTGATACCCTACTTTACCTTTCTGAGCTGTTGTTACCTTTATGATAGTTTCAGACAAATAATGAGTTGTTTCTGATTATTTGGCTGCTATAAGTCATTTCCCATCTTTTGGGATAAATAAAGTGTTTCTTATCTTGTTGTAGGTTTACGAAGCTGTGCCGACTGTTCCTGAAATCCAGCTGCCAGCGATTCAGCCCAATTACAGACCTCTGCCCTCCATTGACATCACACCGCTGTCCCCTCAGAGACGCAAAGGTAAGGCCCTCGCCCCCAATATCAAAACTTTTTCATTATGTTATTTCTCGTTTAACTGCTATGAGAACACCAAACTCTGGCATCAAAAAGGTGAACCCTTCCATGAGTCTTTCTGTGCCTGTATTTGTGCATAAATTAAGCGCCTTAAAATGTTTTCTTTCTTTTTTTAAGTGGTTGTTGTTATAACTTAGAAACAAATACTTTTAGTTAACTTTGTGACATAACGTCTCACTTCATGCAGAAACTTGAGTGCAGTTGTGGCTGAGGAGCAGGTGAAGAGAGGAACCGCTTCTGACTGAATGACAGATGCTTTCTAGACTTTTTTTCCTCATTCTGTATCTTTGCACTTCTGAATCAGGTCACACATGTACCTGCGAGCGATTTCTCACATTCGTGCACATTGCGATCTGATCTGGATTTTCTTGCCAGCATCAGCATATCTGCAAACATTCTTCCTCATCCTCTACATTCAGGCTCACTCTGACGTTCGCTCCCTTCACTTTCAGTTCCTGTGTGCAATGAAGAGGATGATGCAGGCTTCACGGGGAAGCGGTTTAACTCCAAGATGGTGGTCTACTCAGGATCGAAGACCGCCTACCTGCCCAAGATGATGACGCTGTACGAGCAATGCATCCGTGTCCTGCAGAACAACATCGACTGTGAGTGGATATGCAGTATTTCTCTCAGTCTCTGAGCCTCCCTGCAGGGGGCAACAAGGGCCTGATGATGCCACGGAGTTTGACCATGAATATTAAAGCTGATGAGAGGAGTTTAATTTTATCTAAAGTGTAGTATAGCATGTCGTTTTTGAAGTTTAATTTCTGTGTTTTACTTTTATTTCTCTGCCTGCTGCTTTTAAACAACTGCAGGATTTTACGTTTTAGTTTTTAGTTTCATCACAGAGGCATGTGATTGGTTTGATCTGTTTCCCTGTTTGTTAGCAGGATTACTCAGATAGTGATGGACTGATTTGCAGGATAATTTTAGCAATGTAGGTCTGGGCCCACCTTGAACAGAATAGATTTTGGAGTCGGTACAGTTTCAGATCAGGGTTAGCTTTTGTGTATTGAGAAGTTTAGTTTCTCTTTCTCTTTACGATAACTCTAATAACCTTGCCGGAGACTAAGTTCATGAATAGCGTGGGGGCAATTTCATAGCCTTGAAGGTGCTATTGTTTTGCTCTTCACTCACTGTGATGGTCTGTGTAGGTACCAGGTGATCAGAGTTCACAACAAAGGATAAAAGTACAGCAGAAAGTCTCCACAGTCTTTCAAAGTCAGTATCTACTCAAATGTGGTCCTCGCCTGAACTCCACCCAACTGCTTTTTGTGTTGTCGAATAGGAACGTGTCTACGGTCTGCAACTGTGCATGCACATGAACAAAAAGTGTAATCCCACCCTGACGATGCCTCTCTGCTCTTTCAGCGATCGCTGAGGTGGGAGGAGTGCCGTTCGATATCCTGGAGCCGGTTCTGGAGAGATGTACCCCAGAGCAGCTGTACCGCATCGAGCAGAGCAACCAGGTAACATGTCAGACTTCAGTGAAACTTTTAATCTTAAAGCTTAATCTGAGGAAGGAGCGTGGAATCGAAAAATGTAGCCACAAAAATAGCTAAAACGTCCACATTGACCTCTTTGATTTTTATCCTTCAGCCATAAAAGACTGATGGGATATTTTTGTCACCCCGTTGTACCGGTAGGTGAGCGGCGTGGACACCCAGGTTTGTGAATGCGATAACTCGAGAACGAGGCGATGTAAGAGTTTCAGATTGATATCATAGGTGTATCTACTAGGAGGCTGAGTGCTAGCATTGGTGGCCACCGGTGTTTTTATAAGAAGTGAAAAATCTAGAGAATTTTCACTTCTTATTTTATTCCACTGAAATAGAATTAATTTGCACAAACTGCAAAAGTTTTGTTTTCACAATAGAAATATAAGGTGGATAAATCTTTTAGCATCATTTGCTTTCTTTTTCCAAACTTTGTTAAAAACTATCAAGCTGTATTTTATGAAACTTAGGAGGATGAACTCTGAATGGCTGCTACACATGTAACACTTTTACAAGCAGAGCAGTTATTCATCATTAAAGTTCATATTCGTCATTAAAGTCGGTCGCCTTCCTCTTTGTCTCCATCTTTTCTGTCTGGCGCAAGTTTACAGCTTTCCAGAAAATATTATAAAATATAAAGTTTGGATGTTGAGAAAGTTGTATTAATGTCACTTTTTGTCATGAGAAATATGGGCATACGTCCCTTTTTGAAGATTCTTCTCGCCTCCTTTTAGTGGTTCACGGAGGAATCGGACGAGCTGTGGATGCGTCACTGTCGGCGCGACTTCAAGCGGGAGTCTCCGCAGGAGTACGAGTCATGGAGGGAGTTGTACCTGAGGCTGCACGACGAGCGCGAGGAGCGACTAAGGATGCTCACACAGAATATCACGTCTGCGCATGCCAACAAACCCAAAGGTGGGACGAGCTTTTGCAGTTTTGTATAAATCGACACATAAAGCACAAAGAAAAAGCATTTTGGGATTTTCTGTTTGTTTCTGTAGTTATGATTCATGATGGTTTTTTTAATATTTTTAAGGCTGTTGAGTGTTTGACCGAGAGTGTTGTTTCCTCTAACAGGACGTCAGGTTAAGATGGCGTACGTAAACTCTGCCGCCAAGCCGCCCCGTGATGTTCGCCGCCGACAGGAGAAGTTTGGAACCACCAGTGGTTCGACAGCCAGCTCCACAGCAGCTGCAGCTCCTATCAAGTGAGTACAGAATAAGATCAGGGAGAAACTGAGAGGATGTTTAGAGATTTCCTGATAAATATCACAGACTGAGTTTCAAATCACGACGAGGAAGATCTTCTCTATCGATGCACACGGCTGCAGACAGAGCTGTGTAGGGTTTTTTTTTAATATTCACCACAGTGGCTGTCTTCCTGTGTCCTTCAGAATAAGACCGGCTACCACTGACTACTCCGGAGAATCAAGCCAGTCGTCTTCCTCCCAAAACAACCCTCCTCCCGCTGGTTCATCCCGCTTCTCTGCACCGAGTGGAGTAGGACACGCCGCCCGGGAAAAACCTCAAGTCAAAAGTAAGTCTTGCTGAAAGCACCATTGAGGATTTCTTTTTTTCTGTGTGTGTCTTTTAATCTAACAAATCACTTCTTCCTGTTTCCTTCTTCCCCACAGAAATCGCCCCCATGATGGCCAAAACTATCAAAGCATTCAAGAACAGATTCTCCCGCCGGTAGTGTGAAAGAGACTGAATGTATTTTATGTGATTTTAATTACAGTGTAGCGGAATTGGACTGGAGACCCTCCAACCCTGCGCGCACACTTTCAGCCCCGCAAACATCACATGAACTTTGCAGTATTTGTGGAAAAATGGTTAACTTCCTTTTTTTTCTTTGTTTTTTTTTTTTTGTGGGGGTGGGTTGATGTTTTTTTTTCTGTGGTGACGTCTGTTTTGCGGGTCTTAAATTAAGTATTTAAATCCTAAACGATGGTACACATGGTAGAAGGACACACACAAACACAGTCAGTCTGTTACTGAATCATGTTTTCCAGCAGACGGTTTTTAAAGAAAGAGTTTTTGGGGGAATTCTTGCTGCGAGGTTAGATTAGAGGATTTTTCTATCGCTTTCTCCGGCAGCACAAAGACTGGAAAGAGGGGAGCAGCTCGTTTTCAGCTGTAACAAAATCAGCCCCAGCAGAACCTTTAATTGTCATTAATTAACATGTACATTTGTACACAGCCAAAACGTGCACAAAAAATTTGTGACTTTTTAAAAAATTTGCCTCAAACCTGCATTCTTTCTAATGGCCAGTAGGGGGCGTCTCTGAAATTATATTGTATAGAAGTCCATGAGTAAATTCTTCTAATGTGATCCGTAAACTCAGTTAACATTTTCCTGAAGAGTTTATGGACTCAGCTGCTAATTTTAAGTCTTAATCAATGAAAAATAAAGTTAATGCTGTAAATTATTTTTGCTAAATAATTTAAATTATTTGTGGGTGGCCAAGTCACTATGTTAGCCACCCGAGTTTTAAAACTCTCATCTCAGTGCTGCACTAACCAGTGGGTGATGTCGTGATGGCCACATCCAGCTTTTATATACAGTCTGTGACTAATTGCACTAATCAATTTGTTTCAAATTTTCATTTTTTTTAACCCCTCGCCTGTAAAAGGCTGACAGTGTACTGTCATCACTTGGGTGGCAGGGAGGGCAGCGTAGGATTTTGAAATTGATAGCATCGGTGCATCTACTAAAAATCTCAGATGATTTTAAATCTCAGTGACCTCGACCTCAAGGTCAGGGCTAGAGGTCAAGTGTATGAATGTGATAACTCAAGAAGAAACTCACCTAGGATTTTCACATTTATAGCATAAGTGCAGTATTTTTACTGCTGTGACCAGACATTGAGCATCAAGGGCTCAACCTTAATGCAGTCAATAACTGAATCAAGTTTTCCTTTCATAAATAATAATAATAATAATAATAATAATAATAATAATGGGGGGGGGGACATTTGAACAAAGTAGCATTTCCGCAAAAGCTCCCCATCTGGTCAGAAACGATAGACTTGACATGCAAAATGTTAATATTTATGCTTGATTTTCTCTTTTCATAACAATTAAAGAGATTACATTTGTTAAACAATGAACTTAAACGTTTGTTTTTCTCCCTTGTTTCCTGTCTTTGTGCCAAGCCAAGCGGTTCATATTTATCATATGAAAGATGATAGTTTTATCTGTCTTCTAATCAAACTAGTAATGAGCATATTTCCCAAAGTGCGAATCTTTTCCTTGTAAGGGACAGAAAAAGGGCTCTTATTTTAAAAACAGTCAGCTGTTGTTTCCCCTATGACCAAATGATACACTACAGTGGGAAACTTTTACACTTTTACTCTTGTTTTGTCTCTTAATCGCATGCACCGTGGACGTCCCGACACCCGAGACATCAGCTGGATGGTGGGGGACTTTAATCATGTTTTGCCTGGTGCATTTAAAAAAAAAATGTGTTTGGCTAAGATGAAAGCACAGCAGAGCGTGCGGCGTCGTAGACTTACTTTAACCCTCCTGTGGCTTCAATTCATGTTTCCCTGCTGTCGAATGTGTGCTTCCCTGTTTTTATCTGCTTCACTGTGACAAACTGATTGAGTGAGGGGAGATTTGGAAAGAGAACCATAAGTTGTCTGCAGCTGCAGTCCATGATGATGATGATGAAATGTATTTATTTTCAACACTGGGACCTGGCACCCCACAACATGGGCCTGAATGGAAGTAGATTACAAATTGTAATTTTATTAGATTTTAATAAATGTTATATGGTCATTTTTATTAAAATTGACTTTTTTCCCTGAAGCTGTTTGTGTGGGTCTCTTTGTCACTCAGAAAGTCTGCAGTGCAGGAGGTTTATAGAAGTGATCCATCTTACCAAAACTACCTTATATTATTAACATAATAATATCTGTATATTTTTTTCTACGGTTATTATTCTTAACGGCCAGCATCACTTTTAGTAGTTCAGCAATCGCTGAGCGTTTTACAGGGCTCAACGTGATTAAATGAATGAGAGACAGAAACGTTTTTTTTAGCAGCTATTAAAAAAACTGAAGCAGGAGCCTCCTTTATTTTTGTTTTTAACCTGTATAATAGTCACTTTCTTTTACACATAACTTTTCCAGATTCCTTGTAATGAACGTGTTTTTGATATGAGGACATCATTAAATCCAGGTTTTTGTACATTTTGCTTTATGCTCATGTCGCTTTTATTTTTATGTGACACTTGTAAACAGTTTGCGACACTGCCGGCGTTTGGTGGTAAGACTCGTGAGCCAATCTGATAGCACATCGCTTGTGTTTTCCTCTTCGCGTCGTAAAGTGGCTACGTTGTAGAAGATGACAATTTCCTGTGGGGATCTTTTTCTTTTCAAAATAAAGTGTCTTGAAAACTCATAAGTTCCATTGAAAAAGCTCTGTTTGCGTTGGAAAGCTGAACTAACTGAATATACCAACCATTTCTTTTCTTCAAACTAAGACTAACCCTTTCTTTTATAACAGTCAAAATCAAAGGCTCCAGATTCACATCACCATGCTGATAATCTACAAGTTCAATTAAATAATCATTTACATAATCATACAAGGCGGGTGTCGGAGTGGAGGATGCCATCCTGTACCTCCTACACAGAGCCCACTCACACCTGGATGGGGGAAAAGGCACGGTCAGGATCCTGTTTCTTGACTTTTCCAGTGCCTTTAATACCATCCGGCCCTGTATGCTTCAGGAAAAACTGAACAGGATGGAGGTGGACCCCTGCCTGGTCGCTTGGATCTCCGACTACCTCACCGACAGACCACAGTACGTCAGGCTGAAGGACATCACGTCTGACACAGTGGTCAGCAGCACAGGAGCACCACAGGGAACTGTGCTGTCCCCTCTTCTCTTCACCCTGTACACCTCTGACTTCTGCTACAACTCTGAATTATGCCACATTCAGAAGTTTGCAGACGACACAGCCATCATGGGGTGTATCTGGGATGATCAGGAAGAGGAGTACAGAAGTCTGGTGAGGAACTTTGTCGCATGGAGTCATACAAACCACCTGCAACTCAACACCTCAAAGACTAAGGAACTGGTTGTGGACTTCGGGAGATCTAGAGCAGGTCCACTGCCGGTTCAGATAGAGGGGGAGGAGGTGGAGGTGGTCAACAAGTACAAGTACCTCGGGCTGTGGGTGGACAATAAACTGGACTGGTCATGCAACACAGAGCACCTGTATAAAAAAGCCCAAAGCCGACTGTACTTCCTCAGGAGGCTGAGGTCTTTTAACATCTGCAGGAAGCTCCTGAGGATGTTTTACCAGTCAGTGGTTGCTGGAGTACTTTTCTATGCTGTGGTGTGCTGGGGAGCAGCACAGCAAAGAAGGACTCATCCAGGCTGGAGAAACTGATCAGGAGGGCTAGCTCTGTGGTCGGCATGAAGCTGGACACTCTGGTGACAGTGGCAGAGAAAAGGACATTAAAGAAACTGATGGACATTATGGACAATGCCAGGCATCCTCTGCACACGGCCATTAACAATCAGAAGAGTCTGTTCAGTGACAGGTTGCTTCTCCCAAAGACAAGAACTAACAGACTTAAAAACTCCTTTGTCCCACACGCCATCAGACTGTTTAACTCCTCTCTGGAGGGGAGAGGGAGGGGAAACAGGAGGACAAAGGAGGGGGGAACAACTAAGCTGTAGTGCCTCTTCACCTCACTGTGCAATACCTTGTGCAATACTTTTGTAAATAGTCAACGGTGCAATAGACTCAATACTTGAAATGTGCAATTCACTTGTATTTTTATTTTTTATTCCTATTTATTCTATTTATCCCCTTCGTATATTTTATTTATATTGTCTCTGTATTATATATATGTGTGTGTGTGTGTGTGTGTGTGTGTGTGTGTGTGTGTGTGTGTGTGTGTGTGTGTGTGTGTATATATATATATAATATTCTGTAACTCTGTAACTTCTGTCGGTGCTGTGCTTTTTTGGAAATCGAATTTCCCAGAGGAACCCACCCGAGGGATTAATAAAGTTCTATCTTATCTTATCTTATTTTACTTTTAAGGATCTTTATTACTGGGCCACAATACATTCAACACATTAGATATCTTCTCACCTACAAAATGTACAATGCACAGTATCTGAAGCACAAATGAAGCATTTGAATTAAATTCCAAAGGCTATTATTCTGTTCACCGCATTTTAATTTTAAAATTAGCCATTTTTAAAACTTCTCAGTCTTTTAAGTATCAGCTGCTTAATTTGATGTGTTTCCACATGATTATTAGTAATTTAACAGTTCAGAAAGGGAATTTGGTCTGAATGCACGAAAGGAATCTGAAATAATTCAGTGCAAAAAGTTTTTTTTTAGTTTTTTGGATGTTGGAATCACTGCAGTAATGATAATGAACTGTGGAAAAGACACGTACAGACAGCTCATTCTGGAAAGAAAAAAAGGTTAGACCTTATTTCAAATTTACAGAAAGACAAAGTTACTGCTTAGAATGAGAAGGATCAGTCAAAAAAAAAAAAACGAATAAAAAAAACAATTTTTAATGGTAATCAATGTGAGACAGGTGATTTCAATCACACGACCAAGGTGCACATGAGCTAATCAGTGAGTTTGAAAAAAATTAAAGGAGATGTAGAGGTGTAAAAAAAAAGTACTTAAGAGATTTTTTCAGGTTTTAAGGGGTTTTTTTCACTGAGTGATAAATAATACTAAACCACGTTTCGAATTGACGCAAACCTTTGAAGTTTTATTTTGAAATTCTTGCACCGGAACTTACCTCGTGACTTCACGTAACTTGACGCAGACGTCACTACACGCTTCCAAGTGAAACTTGCTGAGCTCATTTCACTTTATAAAAACGCTCCAGCGCGAACGCTACGTTTTATTTCTACCTGGAGTGATTAACGAAACCGGCCACGATGTCCGGACACGGTCACGGTCACGGATGCGGGTGTGAGGGTGAGCATGAGCCCGCGGAGAGGGGCCTGGAGTATGGACTGTATCAGAAGATCGACCTGGAGAAGCTGCAGTGTCTCAACGAGAGCCGGGACGGAGACGGCAAGCTGGTGTTCAAACCGTGGGACCAGCGGAACGACCGGAACAAGGTAACGCCTCTCCCCCGGGCAGGTGTCCAGGTAGAGCGCACGCTGCGGAGCTGCGCAATATCCAAACTAAACTTTACCGAGCTTTGAGGTGCAGGTTCAGCCTGGTCATGGAGTCAGCAGCTTGACTTCAAGTCCTATAACTTTACCAGATATTGATCTATGAAGGTAAAGTATTGATTTTAGATTGGTTTGTAAATGGGTGCACCAGGAGCAGGGCAGCAAACACGCGCAAAAGACACTGATAGAAACAAAATGGTTATAAAGAGAGAAAAAACATTACCACAAAGTGATCACAATAAGAGAAAACGACCACAGAATTGCCTTAAAGAGAGAGAGCGCCTCAAAAATGGTTAGAATTAAACAACAAAGACATAAAATGACCAAAGAGGTACACAAATTATCCACAAATAAAGCATAAAATTGGCACATAAAACCATTATATGATCACAGAAGACTCGCATAAACTCAAAAAACCCCCACAGAAGAATGTCAAATGATCACAGAGACATATAATGTGACCCCCGAGCAAAAAAATTGAAATGCAAAGAACAACCACAAAAAGAAGCTCCAAGTTGCCTTAAAGTAGGACAGAATAACATTATGACCATTATAAGCAAAATCTGATGCATAGTGACTTCAAAATATCCAAAGTAAAAACAAAAGAACTGAATAGAGGTTCAAAGCAATCACAGGTATTTATAAAATGACCAAAGAGTGAAACTTGACCACAGAAATACCTTTAAAAACAGAGAGAAAATGGTTACCACAAAATGACCACAGTCAGGTGCATAAAGTGTCCAAAAATAATCAAAGTAATGGGTAAAGCAACCAAACTGAGACGTAAAACAATCAGTGATCGGTAAAGTGAGCACAAAAGTCAGAAACAAGACTCAAAGCACCTGCACAGAGACACAAGAAATTACCAAAAAGACACTCGAAATAACCACGAATTTACTTAAATGGCCTCAAACAATCAAAGCAAGATACAATATGACCACAGAGATGCGTGACAGGATCACAAAAGTGCAAAATAACCATAAATGACCAAAGTCAGGCATGAAATTACTGCAGAGAGCAGCAGAAAAAAAAAAATCACCAAAACTGGACCCAAATTGACCTGTCAAGTCAACAGTCAAGGACCCAAATCTGGAGCTGAGAGATTTCAATGTTTTCAGTCTTTTAAGAAGTCGAGAATAAATGTGGGGGAAAAATGTATATTTTCCACCACAGTTAACTGATCGTATTTGGAGGGTTTTTGTTTTTTTGTTTTTTTTTTTAAAAAGGACATTTTAAAAATCATGAAAGGTGATTTAAAAAAAAAAAAATTGTTTTCTGAAACAATCACAAAATGAGTCACATTTAAATGGAAAACACCTTGAAGTCTTAGAATTTCTCAACAGGGACTTTAATGAAACCTCCCACACAGTCTTACAGATCCAAAAACACTGTTGTTGACTTCAGATATGTAATATTTTCATATGTCATTTATAAAATATTTTTAAAATAAGCCACATTTGACTCTGTGAGCTTCACAAGAAGCCTCGGGACAGCTGAGGAGGGATCAGCTTTGTGAATATTGTTGTTTATGATTTCCCACGCAGCTGTCTGCTTTTTTTTTTTTTTTTTTTTTTTTTTTTTCACCTGAGCACAGTTTCAGTATGAGACATTGTTGTGTCCGCTTTAATTTTAGTGAAGC